CACCCTAGACTACCCTAAACACTAAACCCTAAACACGAAACCCCAAAACCTAAACACTAAACCCTAAACACGAAACCCCAAAACCTAAACACTAAACCCTAAACACGAAACCCCAAAACCTAAACACTAAACCCTAATCTCAGCCCTGGGCTTGCCATTCCACTCGGCCCAGACCGGTGCACCCCCGCAGGGGAATTGCCCCACAAGGTAACCTCAGGTCCATGAAGCGCTTGTAGGGATCTATAGGGTTCCTGTAAAGGGATCTAAAGGGATCTATAGGGTTTCCTTTAAGGTCTCCTTTACCGGGTTTCGGGGTTTAGGGGTGGAGGGTTTAGGGGTTTAGGGTACTTGAAGGATCCTGGGTACCTCAAATGGGGTTGTAAGTACTTATGTATATATATATATATATATAGAGAGAGAGAGAGAGAGAGAGAGAGAGAGAGAGAGAGAGAGAGATAGCCCTGTATAGGTACTGTGGGGCAAAGTATATACCACTTGGGAACATGGACCCTTGGGATTCAGTGATTCAGGGTCCTTCGGTTGATGATATAAATCCTGCATTACCCATAGTAAGAAATATACCATCATTCTCATAGGAACTAACCCCTAAGCCTTAACTCCCTACAGATCCCCAAAGGAACCTTGTAGATGCGTTTAAAGGAACCCCAGGATTTATATCATTAACCTTTGCTGTCACCAGCCTGGATCTGGTGTAGTCGGTCTTCGAGGTTTCAGAGCCTAGTGAGTTGGAGACTTACACGCCGTAAACCCTAGGGATCCTTTCCAGGACCCCTTCTAGGATCCTTATGCAGGTTTAGGGTTTAGTGTTTGTTTAGCACCTTTAAGGAAACAAGCCCGAATACTCCAAACCCACAACGGAGACTGGCCACGATCTGACCCGAAATCCCAAACCCACAAACTCTGAACCTTACGCCTTGCATCGACAGCCCTAGCTTTGGAACCGGAAGCCCCCAGACCCTAGAAGCCGTATAACGCCAGAGAGGCTAAACCCCCTGAGCCCTTAAAATCCTATTGGCCCAACGCCCTGAAGCCAAACCGCCAAAACCTGAGCCCCAACCTCAAACCCTAAACCCTACCTGTAACTCTCTTTACCTACAGTTTAGTAGCCATCACCCCTCAATTAGTAGGTCGGACAAATAAAACTGCCGGTTATGTACTATAGGGGCCTTAATAAAATTACAATTTTAATAACGAGCCCCAAAACAGAATGAATAATTAAAGTCTCGGGTATGTACAAAACCCGGCTAGCCCGATACCCTATATGGTTTAGGGATTAGGGTTAGAGGTTTATTGATTAGGGTTTAGGGATTAGGGTGTACGGTTCAGGGATTAGGGATTGGGGCTTAGGGTTTACGGTTCAGGGATTGGGGTTTAGGGTTTAGGGTGTACGGTGTCGGGCTTACGGTTGAGGGTCTAGAAAGTTTAGGGATTTTTGGGATTAGGGTTTGGGATCTGGTTCTTCGGGTTCCGGTTTAGGCCCCCTTTAAGTTCTCCTGAAGCCAACAACACGAAAACACTACTTTGGAGGATCAGGGTTATGAGTACCTTAATTGGGGTCATAAGTAGTTATAAGTATAACTACCCTAAATATGACCCTAGATACTAAGTCGCATGATCCTTTAAGTACCAAACCCTGCAAGGCCTCTAAGCCCTGCACCGTCAAGGTCTTCCGATACTCAAGCACCATCTCAAACCTCCTAAACCCTAAACCGCTAAGCCCTAAACCACTAAACCCTCAACCCTAAATCCCTGTAACTCTTTAGGTCGAACTCATAAACTGTAGGTAATCCGGAAACCCCTAAACCCTAAACCCTCCTGGCCCGTTCAGGCCTAAAGCCGACACTGTATGATCTCTAGGCTCTTACCTCTGAACGAGCCCAAGAAAAACCAGTCACAAGCCCGAAACCCTTAAACCCTAAACCCAACCTGGACCCTACAGAACCTCCCTTTTTGGGCCTTCCTGTTCTGATTCCCCTTAAAAAGGAAGTTGTTCGGGGTTTCGGTAAGCCTTGCAGAACTCTGAAAGAACTATGGAACAAGCACCACCAGCCTTTTCTGAAACCTAACCCTAAAAGCATGAGGTAAGCCCAGCAGCCATCGGGCCAAGCGCAGTCCCAAGGCTCGGCGATGAGCTTCACCTGAGTTCAGGTGTTCAGGCTTATGACGCGTTGTCTCGCAAGGGTTTGGGTTTAGAGCTCCTTCGTGTTTCGTTCTTGCTTGTCTGCATCACTGCCTGAAACTTATGTTTGAAGACATTGTTTGAGTATCTGTTGGTTGTTGATGGTTGCTGTTGATTAGTGTTTCCGTAGGTTGTTGCGTACGCATGGGCCCCACGGTGTGCGATTGTAGTAGACACTCATCATCGTGCTGTGCGTTGGGGCTCCTTCCTAAACCATATGTCCAGGATTGAGCCTACGGCAGACGGCGATGCTGCACACGGTGAACCACTTTCATCGCCCTGCCCCAGCACATCAAGGGGAGGTTAATTATGACGGAGGGAATTTCAGACGAGCCAGACCCTACGTAATGTAGGAGAGTTAACAATGGCAATAATTAGAATCGGGTTTTAGGGCCCACTATGCTATACCTATAATTCATAAGGAACCCGCAAAATAGTATAGGTAAGTATTTCAGCTCCTATAGTACGTCCCCAGTGTGGTTTGAAGCCAAGCCACGTTCTGCAAGCACGGGTCATTTGTCAGTCGGCGGATCAGCGGTGGGTCCTGTCCGGTTTTGCCAGATCCATCTGCGAATCACATGAATTAGGGTTTAGGGTTTAGGTTTAATCTAAGAACCTGATTAAGAAACCTTGGGCCTTTATCAGGGTTCTGTGCATGAATCCTGCTATTTTGGCCCAGGGTTTCTTAATAGAGCTTTAGCTACTGCGGTCGTGTAATCAAAGCGATTGACTCGATTGCCGATATGACCTGAATTCTATCTCCACTGACGACAACCTTGCGAAGACCCCAGTTACGCCCTCATCATGGTGCCACTCTTGGTATTGACGAGGAGGCACTGGATAAGGACTAAAGTCTCATCATTCGTATGATGATGAACGTTGCTGTCACATCTCTCTCTGCATTCTTAGATAATCACAGCTATTTACACCCTGACCCCATAGACCCCAAACCACGAGTCTGCGTACCGTCGTCATGATGAGTTTGCGTTGCTGCTAAGTAAGGCCTTTCTGTTGAGAGTGTCACACTTGCCGGTCTTTTTGTCTCAATCTCGTGGGCTTTTTGGAGCCCATTTATGTACTTATGATAAGCAACCCCCCCAAATAGTATTGGTAGCCCCTATATTAGGATTGATGCTGGTGGCTCTCATGGTTGGAGGTGGAGCGCCCTGGGCTTCAAGGTCAAGGGAAACATCTCAACTCGCATGCTTCGGGTTTAGGGTTTACGATTCGGATTTAGTTTAGGGTTTAGGGAGCCAGTAATCCTGCCACGACCTCAGAATGCAGCAACCCAGCCCCATAAACGCAAACTTCGTATGCCAACCCGTGAACCCTAAACCCTAAACCCCTAAACTCCTAAACCCTAAACCCCCAACCCTCCAAAAGCAGCACTGCAGCAGTACAGTCCGCCATGCACTGGCCATCGCCTCGGCGCACACTGCAAAAATTTCAACAATTTAATTGAGGATTCCTCCTAATCTCAAACCTGTGCAGGTGTCCTAAATGAGGGGCGCCCTAACCCCTCAGCCCGAAGTGGCGTCTCTAACAGGATCCTGGTTACAAAATCCGCTCATAACAATCATGAACAAGAACACTGTTGATCTTCATAAGGACACCTATGCCCAAACCCTATAACCCCTTATCCCCGAATACACCCTAAAAACAGAAAGAAACACACAAAGGCAACGTTTGAAGTCCCTAACCCTAAAACCCTAAAACCCTGAACCCCGAAACCCTAAAACCCCTAAACCCTTTAAAGGAACCCTTAAAGGACACCCTATAGATCCCTTTAAGGGAGCCTTTAAAGGAAGCCCTAAACCGCAAACTGAGCCGTCCACTTCCTCGGGTAAGCGACGAGGCCAAGTCAAAGCGGAATCCGTCGACCTGTTGGGCTTTGGCTTCCTTTAAGGCTTCCTGTAAGGGGATCTATAGGAATCTATAGCGCTTCCTTTCTAGGCTTCCTTTAAAAGGTTTACAGCTAGGTTTCGGGTTTGGGGTTTCGGGTTTAGGGTTAAAGGGACCTATGGGGTTACTTTAAGGCTGCCTTAAGGGTTCCTTTAAGGCCTCCTCTAAGGGTTCCTTTAGGGCTTCCTTTAAGGGTTTCCTGTAAGGGTGTCTTTGAGGGTTCTAAACCCCTCCAGGTCGGTTTAGGGTTTGGCGTTTCTTTACGGCTTCCTTTAAAAGGGATCTGTGGGGTTCCTTTAAAGAGATCTATAGGAATCTATAGGGTTTCCTTTAAGGCTTCCTTTAAAAGGTTTACGGCTAGGTTTCTGGTTAGGGTTCCTTGTGGGGTTCCTTTCAAGGCTTCTTCAAAGTGTTCGTTGAAGGCTTCTGCTGCAGGATTTAGGGTTTAGGATTAAATTAGGGCTTGAGTTTCTTTCAGGGTTCCTTTGCGAGTTCCATGTTGGTGAGGGCTGGGTTTCGGGAACGGACATGGGTTTCTTAGGTTTCTCGAAGCGTGCTAAATGAACTATTTTATAAGCGTTTTGCAAGGGTTGCCATAAGGACCTGCTTGGTTTCCTTTGAGGATTGAAAAATGTAAAGGTTCGCAGGACCCAACGGACCTAAACACTAGGTAGTGTTAGGTACTTTGTGGGGGTTAGGGATAAGAAGTAGGTACTTGGTTTGGATATACAGTAGATTTGTAGAGTAGAATCATATGGCAGAGGTATATGGTTATGTGATGACCAGGTAATTTGGACCCTTAGGGTAAGGATACGGCTAGGGTTCGGTTTGGGTTTACAGTTGTTTTAGGGATTGCTTGAGCTTGAGGATCAGGGTTTGGCATGTGACAGGGTGTTTGTCACGGCCTCATATGAAACCTTGGCCAAGGCACGTGCATTTCAAGCGCCCAGTAGCGCAAGCATTCGACGATCCACTCCGTACATGTAGGATTGTTGGCATTCCTGAGCTTGTGTTTGCTTTGGTAGGATTTGTGCAAGTCTGCAAGCAGGGAGACTGCAGCTACGGCGGCTACACATAGCTAATAGCGCCCCTTGTGGCCCTAGTGCGAAATGAAGACCCAGATCTTCGCATGCTAATGGGCATGTTAATACTAGTAGAGGTTTAGGGTCAGGGTTTTTTAAGGTTAAGGGTTTTCTACTATAGGTGAATACTGGCGCCAGGGAAGTAACACTGAAGGTTGTAAGGCTCTTGCAGCGTATGAGCATCAAGGGATTGCAAACAGTGTCTCGCAGCAACAAGCCGGAGTGTGGCCGTGGTAGTGGATTGACATAATTAACTCTGAGATATGTACTACTCATGCTAGCTGGAGTCGGAGTCCTTTTGTCCTCTTCATGTCTGCATAGACAAGTCCGGGCACAAAAGATATCTCATGCAATCATGTACCTGGCTCAGTCTGCAAGCATCTGCGAACATATCCAGACAGGGATTACAGAACAACAACATCCGTACCAACACAGAAGTACACACACACACACATGTTGCATGGACATGCACGTACAAAGCAATACTCACGAACGGAGTGTTTGTACCTACACGAAAGGTGACTGGAAAGATACTCCTTGCTTCGACGCGTTGCGATTAGGGTGTGCGATTTGGATATTAATCCGCGGATGTGTCACCTCTCATTGCATTGAAACACAGTGGCAGCGGTCCATCATGCTTTTCCATGAACAAGTGCCAAGGCACTTGCATTCCCACAAAGGAAGATCATCACAACAACTCCGGGCCAAAACGATGTGATGCGATTCGACTGCTGAGCAGGATTTTGGACAGGCACCATAGTTTAGACCCAAAGCCTTACAGCCCAAATCAACTTGCACTGCGCAGTACTTGGATTCCAAACTTTAATCTACGAGCTACTTCTCTTATCCTAAGCCCTAAACCCCAAACCCCTGAACCCTATAACCCAGCAACCCCCTTCAAAGTCCAGGCATCACTGTGTTGCCACAGCCGGTGTAGTTGGTGTGGTAGCCGTTTGAGAGAAGATAGAAATGACCTGTGCTTGGTCACAGGGCTTCACGCGTGGCCCGAAATCCTAAACTCCAACCAGTCCCTTGATCCTGAGGCCCCAAATCCTAAACTACTCTTTACCAAAACCCTATACCCTACACCCCATGGAAGAAATCTTAAACTCCCCCGAGCCCAAAACTCCCTAAACCCTGATTCCCACCGGGCTCCCGACTCTCTGCGATCTTTGCCAAGCAGTTCCAGTTGCTGCAGCCTCACTTGAAGCGTGGTTGAGGGCTCTCTGACTTCCTTCACTGGGCTTCGTTTGAGGAGTTTGAAGTAAGTTACCATAATTAGTACGGAAACCCTTCTATTTACTATAGATCCCTATCGCGGTACCTTAAATGAGAATTCTTGACAAGAGCCCAGTTTAGAGATTAGGGGTTCAGGATTCACGGCTTAGGGCTTTAGATTACGGTTGAGTGTTTTAGGTTGGCAGGTCCCATGACGGGCGAGATTAAGCCCTTCGTGTGCGCACTAATGATTCAGGGCTTAGATGTTGTTGCTTATTGCCACTGATGAGCGTAGTAGCAATACTGTTGATGGACAAATCCTGCATGACTCTAAGGACTCTAAACTATGGGAACTATGGTATATTCCTATGGGCAATGCAGGATTTTGCCCATCAGCAGTATGGATATGAAATTCGGCTTCCGGGATTTCCGGGTGTTGGGGTTGAAGGATCCGGGATTCAAAAAACCCGGCACCCTGAACGTAACCTCAACCCAAAACCCTAAAGTCCAAGCCCTAAACCCTAAACCCTAAGCCCTAAACCCTGAACCCTAAACCCAAAACCCTAAACTCTAAGCCCTAAACTCTACATTTATGGCTTCAGGGCTCAATCTCATGCGCAGGGCCGCAAGGCTATCGGTTTAGGTTTTGGTTTGGGGGGTTGTTTTACTTAAAGGATCATGGGACATGTAGGACTGGGGGTTCAAGGCTTGCGGGTTGAAGAGTCCGGGTTTGCCGGTTTAGGCTCACATGGCTGAGGGACTTTAGTTATTGAAGGGTGTTCAGGGTTTACGAATTACGTGTGACAGCAAGCCCTGCTGAATGACAGGCTGTCAGCCAGAAGTAGTAGGATACAACCCGCATGCTTGCAGGGCAGCTTTGGGGACGCTCTCCACTTTAGGATTTCAGGTTAAGAACGAAAAACGCTTCGGGGTTAGACTCCTCCCAACGTCGCGAAGCAATGGTTAATGGTTACCTCCTCAATCCGACACTGGACACACCCAAAGGGTCCTAACCCTAAAGCTCTATAGATCGGGAACCCTAAACCCCTAAAGGCCCCAAAGGGCTGGATCACCAGGCTTGGAAGCCTGCTTCTCAAGCAACAACCCCCAATCAGCCTCTTGACCCTGAAGTACCTAAATAGTAGAATGTAGACTCTCTATAGTAGGAATCAATATATAGTACAGTGTAGAACTTCTATAGCAGAAACCCTTACTATGAGTTGGGAAAGCATCCCACCTTTAGGTGCTCAGGGCCTTTTGGGAGAGCTATGGCCCGCTTCCACCGTAACCACCCCTCCCCCCCCAACCACAGAGTTCTAAACGCCAAGCCTTCATTCCTACTTGGAGGGGCAGGGGACTTAGGAAGTAGGTTCTTCGTAGAGTTATAAGTGCCCTAAATGGAGTTACTCTAAGTATAACCCTACTTCTAACCTACTTACTGAGTCCCCTGCTTCTCCAAGTAGACCCCTCAAAACCAGGCAACCAACCACACACGACAACGAAACCTATGATACTCATGAAACCTAAACCCTAAACCTTACCCTAAACCCTGAACCCGAACAGCCCTCAATGCCCCTGAACCAGAAAAATGGCCGGGTGACCCCAGGCCCCTTCGCCGGTGTGGTTGAAGACTACGTCGAGCACGACCTGAGGAAGACTTCAGAAATTAGGGCTTAGGGAGTACGGATCTAAGGGGTTTAGGGATTTAAGAGGTTTAGGGTTTAGAGTTTAGGGATTAAGGATTAGGCATTAGGGTTTAAAGTTTAGGGATTTAAGGGGTTTAGGGTCCTGGCTGTTAGAAGGATTTGAGAAGTGTCTTATCGGGTCTTTGTAGAGCCTTGGCAGAGTCTAGGCCCAGTTGGTCCATCATGAGGTTCTTTCACGGAATCACGGCACTATTTGCAGATCTTTACATGTCTTTGATACTATAGGGTGTCGCAGCAGAATTTAGGATCCAGGAAGCCAAGGAATCGATCGCATACCTGAAATCACAGCAAGAAGCCCTGTATAGTTTAATGTTTCTTCGTCGATTCTTGTCTCTAAGTGGTACCGGGTTCCATGTGATACACATACATACATCCTACGTCCTACATATATATATATATATATTCACATGCACGTGCTGACACTTTTATGATCTCTATCTATATATATATATATATAGAGAGAGAGAGAGAGAGAGAGAGAGAGAGAGAGAGAGAGAGAGAGAGGGAGAGAGAGAGAGGGAGAGAGGGAGAGAGATTGGAGACTCAAGGATACGTAGAAACCGTTCAGCTGAGGGTCTTGCTTCAATGCTTGCCAACTTGCATGCTGAAACTCCAAACATCCACACTAACACCCAACTATGCCCTTTCCAAAGTCTCGGAAACAAATATGAAGCTTAAACCTGAGCACAAAAAGAAACGTGTTAGACAACACCCTAATCCTAAGGGTCGGAGCACTCAATATTTGTGGATTTTTGGGCCTTTTTCGGTACCAAAACCCATAAAATCGGGACTACTTGGACCCTCAAGCCTGGACTAGACCCCTGAACCCACAAAGCCCTAAACCCAAAGTCCTTGGAGCCTTAAGGTAATGCTGGAAGAACACAGCGTGAAGACTTTCCCCCGGGCTCCCGGGTGCCTCGATGCCGTTTCTGTGGAGCTCGCGCACCAAGGTCTTGAACTCGACCTTGGGTTTAGGCTTATAAGGGATATAAGGGCTAATTATAAGGGATTATAAGGGGTCATATGGACTATAAGGGATCATAAGGGATTATCAGGGTTGTCAGGGTTCGTAAGGGTTACAGGGATTATCAGGGCTAAAAGGGTATAGAAGGGTTAAAAGGGTTGTAAGGGTTTAGTTCGACTTGTTTCAGGGATCTTGCAAGGCTTGCGATGTGAGCTTTTGGGTCTAAGCTATTGTTGGGGCTCGATTAGGGTTGTCACCAAAGGCCAAACTAGGTCTTCACTCTCGCTAGGCCTCAACCAACGACAAAGGTCCGAAAAGGTTTGGGCTCGAGTTTAGGGTGGCTGTGATAACGCTTTTAAGCCTGAAGACCCTTAGCCCTCAACCTAGACCAGTAAATCGCAATCCGGGCTGTTGTAACCCCAAAAACCCTGAACCCCGAAGCCCTGAACCCCTACACACCCCAGTATAGGGGGCCGCAATAAAAAGAAAAGGGGGTTGGGCTGCAATTTACTCCAAGTGTAATCAATCCGAGTACTATTATCATTATGATAATCAATCCGAATACTATTATCATTATTAATATGACTGTTAGTATTATATTGTTATTATTTGGCCATCCGCCGAGGTTCGATTGAGGCCCACATGGTCTTGCCGGCATGGGCCGAGAAGCGCTGCATCGGCACATGATAAGCGCCTGACTTCTGGTTGCTGGCGGTTTAGGGTTTATAGGGTTTAGGATTTAGGGTTTAGGATTTAGGGTTTAGGGTTTAGGGTTTAGGATTTAGGGTTTAGGATTTAGGATTTAGGGTTTAGGGCGTAGGGTTTAGGGTTTAGGGTTTCTCTGCGCTCCGCTGCCCTTCCCCTAGGGATCAAAATAGCCCAAAAGCCTTAAATAGTATGGTCTTTGGGCCCAAAAGCCTTATTATATGAGTCCTTGGATCCGGATCCCCAGGGTTCTGTAAAAAAATGACCCGTATTTATGGTTTTTGGTGCCGAAAAGTGCCCAAAAGTCCTATAATAATGAGTACTTGGACCCGTAGGGACATGAACACAATTCCAAATCCGAACGCGGACGATTCTGCTTAAGGCTTCGAGCCTGGCCGAGGGCTCAGACCCTTTAGCTTGGGTACTGCCCCCCCGCCCCCGCAGGAACAGTCTGCAATATGGCTGCTATCAAGGATCTCATGTATCTACATTGTGAAGATTATTCAACTGTTACTGTTGGGGCAGTACGGCTGATGATATAAATCCTGCATTACCCGTAATAAGGAATGTACGATAATTCCCATAGTCCAGGGTCATTAGGGTAATGCAGAACTTATATCATCAACCGTATCCAACCTGTAGTGCTCATTTCTTCACCAAACAGCAACCCTCGGCTCTTGGACGAGCACGGCAGTAAACTTGTACCGACTGCCTCTTCGGTTTCGTGTATTCACTAAACACTCCTACACTACGAACCCCTCTCTCTCTCTCTCTCTCTGTCTCTCTTTCTCTCTGTCTCTCTTTATATTAACTCTCTCTCTCTCTCTATATATATATATACATATATTTATATGTATAAACGTGTGTACATATATATATATATATATATAGATACGTATGCATACAGATACTGTGCAGGCACGGCGCCATACCAATACATATGTGCACGCACGTATGTATGTTTCTTGTATATATACATACATCTATATATATATATATATATATATATGTCAGACACGTACATACCATACATATGAATGCTGAATATTCGAGGAATCAACTCCAAGTTGTTGCATACTACGAAGGGCTTTGCAGTTGCTCAGATGCCTCTGAAAACACTGTGACCCCCCAAAAACTAAATGAACCTAACACCAGATCGATACTTGAACCTCAAAGCCTTAAACCCTGCATGCTGTCCCGGAGCCCAAACCCCAAAATCTTTAGCAAACTCCTCCCCACCCCAAGTCCCATACCTGAATCACCAGAAGTCGGTGGCCAGGGAACCCTAAACCCCAAACCCGAAAGCCCTAAACCCTACAATCCTACACCCCTTAACTCCAAAACCACTCAGATCCCAGGCCCCTAAAACCCTACAGTAGAAGCCCAAATAGCCTCAATCCTTAAGAGTAACGTAGGGGGAATCCCAGCACTATTTGGCCTTGATCCGGTTTCCAACTTTATGGGGTTTACTGTAAACCACACAACTTTGAAGCCCTTAAGGCCCTAAACCCTAAACCCCAAATGGCCAAGGGGCAGGTCTGGTAGCCCCAGTACTGGCAGAGGAACTCGCCAGTTTGCGGATGAACTCGGGGCACCTGATTGAAATAGGGGCCTCAACACTAATGAGGGGTCGGGTTAGGGTTTAAGTTAGAAGGGGCCCCCACCCTGTAATAGTGGTATAATAGGGCCCTAATCTACTCCTTATAGTCACTATCACAGGGTGGGGGCAGCTTCTAAGGTTTAGGGTTCTATAAACGCTTTCGGGTTTTACATGGTTTTGGGGGCTTTGGGGTTGCATAGGCCGGGTGCTTCTCCTACGTTATCTGGGGTGTGTCTAGGGGCCTACACAATGGCAACGGGGTTTGTGGGTGCACTATAGCACATATATATATATATATATATATATGTGGTTGTCAAAATTATGGTCCCTTTTTGGGTTCCTATTATAGTACGGCACCTAATATTTAGGGTACCCAAAAAGGGACCATATTTTTGACAACCACCCATATACGGAGACCCCCATCTTCAGTCCTGAATAGCCGGGCTTAGGCGGAAGGCGACACCGCAGGAACAAAAACTGATCGTGAACCTTTCAAACTAGCCCTAAACTCCCAAACCAAAACCCCAAAATCCTGAACCGCAAACTAGACCCAAAGCTTGGGCCAGCATTAGGGCAACCTAAACCCTGCAACCCAAAATAGATCCTGCATCCGCAATCCCCCCCAAGATCCAACGCAAATACGAACTAGACCACAATTATTTTCTGCGATCCCGACCCCTTGACCCTCTGATCCTGCGGCTCAACTTGATGCTTGGCACCTTTGGCCGGCAGGTGATCTAAGCATCCCGAAAGCAAGGTTCAAGGGGGGGGCAAGAAGCCTGAGCCGATTGGGGGGCCATTCTGTCATGCCCAAACTGGGTTGGCCTTTAAACACCCTGAAAAATATTTATACATAGGGTCCCTGATAAACCCAAATAAGGAAAATAAAAATGTCCCAAAATCCAACCTAGCAAACTGTAGAGCCCTCTAATAAGTCCCGAAACAACCCGGTCAAGCCGCAACTTGATAGCAGCCCTTGCCAAATCGAAATCCCCCAAATCCTAGACCTTAAACTACAAAGCTCTGAAGCCCTCAATCCCTCAATCCTGGAACCCTAAAGCCTAATTACGTTCTTCGGCTGTGGCACTTGGCTCTCGTCGAACTCGAAAATCGGAAGAAGTTCAACGCCTTGGGCTTTTCAGATGCTCGGGTCGCAATCTGCCTTTTTGTTGTTATTTAGGGCTTGGGTGATCACGCGTCCCTTCCTTATACGTGAGGAGAATCCTACTATAGTTGAAAATCTGTAGTTGCGGCTCCTCTGGTTCTGAAATATGTAGTGTTTGGGTTTCAGAGTATGTAAAAACCCGAGCTTGTTGTAAGGAGGACCCTCAAGGCGGACCGCGACGTGGACTTGATTCAGGGCTTCGGAGAGAGGCGGGAGGGGGGCCCTAAACTGAAAAGGTGCAGGTGAACAGGACAAGACAGACTCTAATTGCTACAAAGACAACATTCGTTCGATGTGCAGGGCAACCTACTGACTCCTGAAGCCCCTAAACTCTGAACCTAAAGCCATCTTATCCTCTATGCTTTCACAAGGCTGCCTTGAGCGTGAGAAATCAAGTGTACCCTGGTGCCCAAACGAGCTCGGGTTTGTGGAGAGTCGGGTTCGCGGCTTCGCTCTCCGCTCGAGAGCCAAAAAACAAGCCTTTTCTTATACTTTCCGACATTTTTCCGTGGAGAAGTCCACCTGTTTTGTCCCGGGGATAAGCAACAAAACTGTACTCCACGAACTGTGCGCCCTTGTCCCCGGGATAAGCAAGTTGGCCTAGGAAGAGATCGTAAACCCTGAACCCAAACCCCAAACATGCCTCAACGCTAAAATCCTAAACCCCAACCCTAACCCTCAACCCTAAACCTTCCAACTTTTCTGGGAACCAGGCAGTTGATGCCCAAGCTCACAAGGTGAGGAATCTTCTCCTCAGAATGCTGTAGGGTTTAGGATTAATTAGGGTTCAGGCGCACGTTGGGCTAATAAGAAGTCTACCTACCGACAACTACGCGACGCACGGCACTTGTATACCCCGCTTCAATGGTTGTGCTGCCAGCGGGCTATGTTATATGGCAGTTAAGTGGCTAGTTCCCTAAATTTCGGCCCCTTTCTGGGTCCCCCAAATAGTACGTACGGTACCCAAGAAATTCTGGAAGGGATCCCAATTAAGAGAACTACCTATGTGTGTAAAGGGACCATAGTTTTGACAACCACCCATATGGGTGGTTGTCAAAATTGGGACGTCCCTATTTGGGTACCCTAAATAATGGGTGCCGTCTTATAATAAGGACCCCAAAAGGAACCAAAATTTTGACAACCACACATATATGTGCGAGCACTTGTGGTGTCTTGAACCAGAGCGCCGGCTGCGGGAGGACTTCGGGCTTAACGCGATGGAAACTTCCGAAGTTTCAAATCAAACAATTAAACCCAAAGCCCCCAAGTAGCTCCCTTTTAGGGTTCATATACAGAATCCTATAAGGTAATCCCAAAAAGGAACTACTATGGGGCCTCTGGTCTGGGTAAACCCAAAGCCCCTGAAGCCCAAAGCCGAAAACCCCCCGTAAACCTACACCCCAAAGCCCAAAGGCCCCCCCAAACCCTAAACCGACACCCCAAACCATAAATTCCCCAAAACCCTAACCCCAAGGCCCCCCCAATAAAACTCTGAACCCTATAAGCCCTGAAGACATTGAGACGAGCAGCGATAAAGCCCAGAAAGGTGCCGGCATTGGGAGCTTGGACGCCGCTGTCTTCGTGCTTCGTAAAGCTTCGGACATGGGCCTGGCGGTTTCTTTTTTTTTTAAGGGCCCCTTTTCGATCAGCATGAAGCGTCTCAAAAGCCCATTTGGGCGGGCCTGGCGGTTTAGGGTTTGGGGTTTAATTTATGGTTTTAGGGTTCTGGGGTTGCAAATATGGTTTTAGGGGTTTAGGGTTGAATTTAAGGTTTTAGGGTTTGAGGGTTTAGGGTTAGGGGTTTGAGTTTAGGGTTTGGGTTTAGGGTTTGGGGTTTAGGCTTTTTTGGTTTAGGGTTTTGGAGTTTCACGCGTGGGGTATAAGGTTGAGGGTTTGAGCCTGGCGCAGATGGGAGTAGGAGGAATGATAACTGTTTTGGGTTTAGGGTTCAGGGTTTGGGGATTGTGGGTTTAGGCCTTTAGGCATTAGTTAGGGTTTTAGTTTCTAGGTTTTTGAAGTTGTAGGGGTCAAGGTCAGCGACCATATCGAGACCCGGCTGGCAGAAGAGCACCAGCAGCAGTTTTGAGGAAGCCGAGAGTTGAGTAGCGGTGGTCGTCGTCGCAGTCGTAGTTATTGACGTGCCACTAGCTGGTAGCCGGCAGCTCGTACTAGCTACTAGCAGGATCGGGAGCAGGAGGAGGAGGAGGATGAGGAGGAGGAGGAGGAGGAGGAGCAGGAGGAGGAGGAGGAGGATGAGGAGGAGGAGGAGGAGGGAAGTCTACGCGACGGCACTAAGTCCGTCACATACCAAGCTTTAGGATTGAAGCGTGCAGGGCCCAGAGATATACTCCGATGTTTCTCGCGAAGGTTGCGGCGAACTGCTAGCAGCGAGCATTTAGATGGCCAATTGAGACTGGGGTCAGCTGCAGCACACATAAACACTCAAAAACCCAAATCCTAAATCCTGCAAGTCCTATACCCTGATTGCAGCCCCTAAGGGTCCAAGTAGTCCTTATATCTGGTTTTTGGTACCTAAATACTAAAAAGGCCCTAAGGTCCTAAACTAGGGAGTACTTCGGTTGATGGTATAGATCCTGCATTACCTTAAACTATGGGAATTATGGTATATTCCTTTTAGTGGGTAATGCAGGATTTGTATCATCAACCGTTGGACCCTCTGGCAGCTCCTTGCCTCGTAGATGATCAGGTCCTTGAGTCCGTATCCCGGAGATGTCACGCCTGGCATCCCCAGAGAGCACCATACCCCTTAATTTAAGATCATTGCTTAAATCATAATACGAAGCCCCCCTAAACCCTAAACCCTAAACCCTAATTTAGGGTGTGGAGTTTTGGTCTCTCTGGGTCGCAAGCTTCCAAGAAAGCGCTCCTTGTAAAAATAGGGGTCTTTACCCCTGCTTTCTCAGGGAGTTTCCCAAAATAGGGGACCCTAATATAGTACCTTTAAATAGCGGGATCCTTATAAGGATCCCCAAATAAGGTACCCCTAAGTTTCGGAAACTCCCTTTTAAGTGGTTTTCGAGGATGAAGCTAAGGAAACCCTGAGACCACACAAGACTCTCAAGTCCCTACACCCTTTAACCCCAAACTCTAAATACATGAGCCCTCGAACTCTATACCCTTACATCTTCTAACTTTACTTTTAACCTATGCCACAACACCTACACCTTCTAATAGCTTGAAAGCTTCAGTCCTAAACCCTCAACCCCTGCCCTTAAACCCTTACGCGGCGGAGCCCTAGTTGAGTTTTCGGTGTTGGGATAGGGTTTAGGCTTAGGGTTTAAGGTTCCGCTACGGGCACCACAGGGGTAGCATAATGGGGGTTTCGGTTATCGGGTTTACGATGCGACCACGCCCAAACAGAAACCTCAAAGCCCCTAAACCCCAAACCGAAGAGCGCGGCGCCTTGCCAGTCAAACGAGTGCAGCGCACGGAAATCGGGCACCACTGACCTGAGGTCATATACAGCCCGATGGTCGGGGTTTACCTGTAGTCTCCATTGTAGTTCCTTTGTTGGTTTAGCCAATTTAAGGCAACCCCACAAATTAACTACAAATGAGAGTATAGGGAGTTTGGCCTGGAGAAATGGGAAACAAAAAGACTTGAAACATTGATTTTTTCTCGCGATATCCCTGTGAGGAAGGGTTTCCCCAGCTATGCGTATGTGCCTCTTCGGTCCGCAGTAACAATTGAAGTTTGAAGGTTCATATGAGTTAAGACACAAAGCCTGAAGGATCTTGTTGTGCGACTGTGGGGGATGCTTGCTTGCATGAAAGGAGGCCCGGGCGAAGGAATTTGTTGTAGGTAAGGGTTTGGGTCGCGCTTGGGTGAATTACACTGCTAAACGGCAAAACTATAACTCTAACACACCTCACTAGTGTTAAACCTAAATAGCCAAACCGCGAACGTTTGGATTGCGGTACCCCAGGGTTTCACTTTCCATTCTTTCGGAGTTGTCTTGGTCACTTCTTGAAGGCCCCTGAAAACTACTGGTGCACTTGGGGACTTGTGGGAAAGGACCGGTCGAGCCGTGATGGTGCGTAGGACCGTTGCCTGGTGGATCGATTCGCAGTTGGCGCCGGTGTCGGATGCAATAGGGTTCAGATGCTTAGATGCCCAGGACATGGCTCCGTGGGAGGATGACCACTCATTGCATGGAAACGCATTTGTAATTAAGGCTTTTAGGGAAATAAAAAATCGCGGACAAGGCACATGGGAGCAAACTTGAAGTCTTCGCCACGCTTGTTCCAGCTGTCTTCACCTCCAACGCTGAAACCCGCAAGTTCTTCTGCTACTACTACTGCTGCTGCTACTGCTACTGCTACGGCGACGACTAGGACGACTACTACAAGTACAACTGCGACGACGGCTGCTACGACCGCCTTCTACTACGCCGCGTGGCAACCGCCCCCTGCTAAGACCCTCAGACCCTAAACTCTTAGAGCCTTCGCTGAACCTACAGCCTTCTTGAACTCTTAGACCCTACCTGGAGCTTCAGAAACCTACATGTGTGGTGGCCCTTGATTAAAACGTGAACTCTCTATATAGGTCTCCAAGAAGTAAAGGCCTTTGCAGGATCCTTGGACTTAGACCCATCGACCCCGAACCCTCAGACCCTCATGAGACTCTAAGCCCAAAGCCCTTGGAGGGCATTGGGGGGTGTTTCCGGAATGCTTTTTAGGGAGTAGAAGGACTGTTACGCTTTGTGCACTCCAAACCCTGAACCCTGCATAACTGGAGCCTTAGGGTTACGTAAGGCCGGGAAACGTTACCCTTATAGATCCCTTCTAGCAACCTTTAAAGACGTGTGCCAAGCGCCTCCGGAGGTCAGACAGCGGCCAAAGGGGTCGAGGACGGTATTCTCGGTGAGGTCCGGCTCTCCGTCGTCCGTCACCTCCTTGGGGGGAGGGAGGCTTAGGGCTTAGGGTTTAAGGTTTAGGGCTTTGGGGGTTGGGGGCTCTCCGCCGAAAGGAACCTGCTAGGCTTTAGAGCTTTAAAGTTTAGGTTAGGGTTTAGAGCTCCGTCGACCTGACCGTCAGCTCCGCAGTGGGTTCTGTATGTTGAGGGAAGGGGCGGGGCTGGGGTCCAGGGTGAAAAGAATACAATTCACCCTGGACCGGGGATAAGGGCAGAGGGTTAACAGTGCAAAGGGTTTCACAGGTTTCTCTCAACTCTAGGTGGAAGCTTGTCATGTTTCAGGCTTTGGCATCAAGAAACCCTACCCCCTAAACCCTAAATCAGCAAGAGTCATGGCAGTCTCGATGGGAGGTCTTAGTCTGCCTCTAGCTGGAAGCCTTCTTGGCTCGTTTCGTGGGCTCGACGGTTTAGGGTTTAGGGTTGCTGGCTTTGTTGTTCCTGCTCATTTTGCGAGCTTCAAACAAGGACTGCAGTTGATGCTTCAGGCTTGCGTGCCCGAGTCCCTACGGAATAAGGCAAGTAGCTCATGAACCTACCTCCCAAGAAGTCCAACGACGACACATTATTTGAATCATCTAGTAAAGATAGCTGTCCGCTTTCCTTAGTTATTGGTTTCGAGCTCCTCTTAACTTGTAGCACAAGGTGGGCTCTTAAGCCCATATCAATCGGCTTCTCCTGGAGCCCCGTGGAACGACAGGGGTCACGCTCCTCCAGGCGTAGGAGCCCAATAGCATAATTAATTACACTGTTCTTGACTATGTAAAGCTTGTAAAAATTTCCTGTTCACACCGCTATACCCCTTTAAACATCTTAGTCATCAGCCCTAAACCCTAAGCCCTAAACCCTAAACCAAAACCTCAGTTTTCTGCTGTGCGGCTGGATCAATGCGCCAAGCATAGCGCAAGCCCACCATGGGGAAGGAGGCCGCCACCTGATTTACCGGGAGCAACGTTCGAGCAGCGCGCTTGGATTTAGGGCTCCTTAAAGGGGATCTATAAGGGATCTAGAGGGTTCCCTTTAAGGCATCTATAGGGTTTAGGGTTTAGGTTCCCAGAGACTTCCATATCTGCTAATGTAGGAACATTCCCTAAATCGTTCTGGGTTTAGGGTTCATAGCTGAAGGCTTACAGGGTTCAGGGCTTCGGGTTTGGGGTGCAGAAATATGATGGGGCCTGCGTCCAACCACAAGGGGCAGGATTTGGGGGAAAGCTGTTTAGCGCTTAAAAGGACAAAAACACTTTGCAGTTTGGGCCAACGGCCTGGACATGCCAGGTGTTGCCCGTCCGATGCGAGAGAGGCTGCAGCTGAACCTGCAGAAAGCTGCCCTTCTTGCCCGGGAGCGAGATGGCATTCTCCTGCAATGACCGCGGCTCTGAACCCCTAACACCTACAATATATGAACCCTTATAGCACCCAGTTGAAGAACCCTACTCTTGGTGGTTCTAACTTCGGGGAAAACACACGGGCCCAGAGTGAAGATTCCACATGAACATCTCGACACGTGAGGATTCACGATGTAATGATGTAAAGGGGATTAGGGTTTAGGTATAAAGTACCATGCATAACCTTTGAATCTCAAGCAACCCGCCCAGTCACATCCACAACTACAGCTGCTAAGCCCTCTCTTGTACGCTGCCTGAACCTCCACAGAATACCCCAAGGGTCCAAAGAACCCAATACTTAGGTACTCGGTTTTAGGATACTAGCGATGTAGGTTCGGGTTTCGGAGAGTATATGATAATCAGGTACTTGGACCCTTGGGGAATGTTTGCTTCCTCCCTCACGCACCGCACGTGAACACCGGAGCTTCCTGGCCGTCTGGCACTTCGATGACGAGCCACGCAGCCTGGCAGAAGGGCCCAGACCTTAAGTTATAATAGGACCCCTAATATATGATTTAAGGTATATTCCTCAATTAAGGGATTTTGGAAGGTCTGGATTTGTTCCGGAGCTTTGATTTAAGCAGAAGAATCGATGCAGTTGTATCATGTTGTTACTTCTACGCCTCAATGCAAAAAAAACAGCACCGCACCAATGCTGCTCTTGCGTGCTGTGTCTGAAGTCCTCTGCATGTTACTTTCCTGTAACTTAAGTAGGGGTCCAGAGTGTGCCACTAAGGCTCTCACTCCAAACTTGGCTTTGCGGTTGAAGGAGCGAAGCTGTCGCTAGCCGTAGCGAATTTTGGCCTTTGTGCTTCCAGAAGTAGTTGGCCCTTCCATGAGGTTTAGGGTTTAAAGTTTAGGTTGAAAGCATAAAACCATATGAAACCTGCCTTCCCCCTTGCTGCTTGGAGATGCAGGGTAGGGCCCTAAACCCAAAGCCGAACCCGAAACGTTTGAGTCTCTTGGCGGCTTACATTTCCACAGGCAACCCGACTGTGTGAAAGCGTCAGCACTCTGGAGACATCTTCGGGTTCGCGGTTTGCGCCTATAGCTGCTACTCCGTGTTGGGGTTTAGGCAGGCCTATAGGACCTGGAGCCATTTCAGTGCCCAGCGGAGGAAACTGAAACTCCAGATACCAAGCCAGCTAAGTAGGTGGAGATTATTGGGGAGACGTTTGTGCGGATATTGAGGCTTGAGGCAGTTTGAGTGAACTGCAGAAGCAGAGATACAAACGCAATACATGCCGGCGACACGGTGGAATCCGGTGCGATGATGCTAAAGTTCACGCCATTCTTGGCTTCGGAGCATCCATACGGCAAAGGCTTTCCTTGCATGGCCGATTCTGGCATACATGCATTGAAATTTGAGCTTGCAGCAGTTGGATTCGAGGGCTGTGTTGTACCCTGATTTTCTGGCAACACGAACCCCAAACCCTAAACGCTCAACCGTAAACTGTAAACCCTAGGTTTTGGTTTTGGCATGAGCCTTGCATCTTCAAGTCATATGGGTAGGCTTCAGGCTCAAGGTGCGGATATCTCCGGATATCCTTTCTCCATGTTCCGCGCCCAGCCCTAGTTGCTGAAATTACTGAATATCACGAGCACGGAGAGCACCGAAAGCAGTGATCGCGACTTCTGAACACGGAGTGACATGAGGGAGCCTACACCAGCGTGAGCCACAAGTCTCAAACCCAGAATTCTGAAAGATCACGAGCTGAAATGACAGCTCTAGGCTTGATAGAAACGAGCTGCAGGAGGACCTGGCTACTGGAGCACCGTATATGGTAAGAGTTTGCACTGGGAGTACAATCGGGATTGAAGAGTGAAGAGGACTTGTGCTGCTCTTGTCAGGATGTTGAAACCAAGTGTCTTTAGTTCATTGTTTCGGGTGAGGTGGGAGGCCTTCCCAAAATATTTCGGAAGGTCTGGGCTCAGGGCCTAGAGAGTACCGAGCTTCCACATGTCTGGCGGTTCAGTGTTCCATCCTAAACCCTAAACCCAAAACCCTGAACCCTAAACCCTTGTAGGGCTCAAAACGTCTCAAGTGTCAGACTTCGTGCCGGGAAACCTATGTAAACCCGACTTACTTGTCGGGTATCATGGGTAACTAAAGGTTAACCCTTCTGGTTACATAGGGATTATACAGGGGCTCTACTACCCAAACAAGGTTACAGGTTCTCTACTCTACTACTGGGCGTAAGTAGCTAAATCAGAATTTCGGGACGGGTGTTCAACAACACAACTGCCCCTGCTCAGCCAGGCAGCCCTTGCCCACTCGAACCTGCATGGAAAGCCGCAAAGGAGCAGGGTGGAGGATTTCAGGGGCTTTTCAAAATTTCGGGCTTGCCTGATCCACAACCCAGGCCAACGACATCCGATCTGCAACACGGCCATGCAGTAGATACTCCTAAACACCATAAGAGCCTAGGCTATGGGGTCGGGACTAACAGTCATACTGCTGAGGTTCGAACTCAATCCCTTCCTAAGCCCTCAGCCCTGAGCCTTGCATCGCCCGCTCAATGCATGTTTTCCCGGCCCCAAACCAGCTCAGCATCTTTGCTGCGCAGGTCCAAGAAGGTTCCTTCAAGCCTTCCTGTAAGGGTCTTCTTGGATGGTTCCCTGTAAGGGCTTTCCTTGAAGGGCTCTTTAAGGTTCCTTGGAGCTTCCCTCCCTAACCCTTAATTCCTAGACTCTAAATCCAACTTATGTAACCATAGGCTCCATCGTAGTTCCTTTTTGGGGCTCATGTTTAGAACCCTATAAGGTAATCCCAAAAAGGCATGTACTCGCAAAGCCTTTTCAATCTGCACCTTGAACCCTAAACCCTAATTCCTAGACCCCAAACTCCAAACTCTATGCAACCACTTGGTAGGACCGGTTGTCGAGCCTGTGAGGCACTCAACTCTTAAAGCCCTAAACCCTAAACCCCTTGAAGCCCTTACAGCCCTCAAAAGCCCTGAATCAGGAGCCTGTGAGGCTTTTATAGTAACCATTTGGAAGGACCACCCGCCGAGCCTGTGAGGCTCATTATACTATACTTGCAATAAGGAACCCTCCAAAATAGTATAGGTAATTATCTAGGCCCCTATATGTATACAATAAGGCACCCCTAAAATAGGACGGCTCCTACAGTAGAAGCCAGAAAGTTGGAATATCATTATCGTAACCCCTTTAAGGTAAATTATAGGGGATCCTACCATGAATCCATATTCCAACTTTCTGGAGTTCCCTCTAAACCCCTAAACCCTAAACCCCTAAACCCTAAAGCCTAAACCCCACTTTGAAGGACCGGCTGCCCAGCCTGTGAGGCGCTCTTCCGGGTCGCCATCGTCGAAAGGACCGAGCCTCGAACAGCGCTTGGAGTGGATTCTCGGGTTTCGGGTTTGGGGTTTGGGGTTTGGGGTTTAAGGATTCGGGCTTGAGGCTTAGATTGAGGTTTAGGGTTTTGGGTTTGGGATTTGGAGTTTAAGGATTCGGTTGGGGATCAGGGTTGAGGGATTCAGGTTGAGGGGGGTAGGGATTAGGGTTTGTAGGGCCTAGATTAGGGAGTAAGGTTTAGGGTATCGGGTTTGGGGTTTCGGGATTACCCTAACGCTCCGAAAGGGGCCATGGGCTACCGGGGGAGGGTTTGGGCTTTGGGGCCTAAGGTTTGGGATTCCACTACGAGGGTCCAGGAGCCTTAGGGTAGCGTTTAGGGGGGATTCGGGTTTAGGGCTTAGATTGGGATCTTCTTGTCGGACTGACCCGATCCTAGTTATGAAGGTCCCTATATTATGGCCTTCACAGGGTTTCAATAGGGTTTTCCCGAAACTGTACGGGCATCCTTTCGGGATTCCAGTCGCGCTGAGGGCCCTGAAAGCTTGCAAGGCTTGTTTCGGGTTTAAGGTTTAGGGTTTAGGGCTTTCTGGATTTCGGGGTTAGGGTTACGGGGTTTTGGGGTTTAGGGGTGCAAAGTTCTGTGGGCAAGGTGAGGATTCCGTTTTCCATACAGAGTGTACAGGGTTTAGTCGGGTAGTTTTTATCTCTGGAAAGAGAAACTTCCTACCTCCCTGAGAAGTATGCAAGACCGCGAACCTCCTAGACCTAAAGTTCTAGACGCTATACAACTTTTTGATGTTGTTTTTAACAACCTGAGGTATTACACCTGAAGCCTGTAAACTCTGCAACTTTATGCTCCGACGCAGGCGAACACCCGACTTGTGGCTCAAGTCCAGTTGAGAATCCTTGATGAAGATTCCTAAGATTCCCTAAGCCCTCCTAAACCCTCCACCCTCCTAAACCCTAAACCTTAAACCCTAACACTAGGGTTTTGGAATTAAGGATGCCAGGCGAAATGGCTTAAATGAAGGCACCCGGCCTCCACCTCCAGCCCTCCCTCCACGCCTCCAACTCTGCCAGACCCCTACTTCGGTTGATGATATTAATCTGCATTACCTTAAGGACCCTAAACTATGGGAATTATGGTATATTCCTTACTATGGGTAATGCAGGATTTTTATCATCAACCGTTGAGGGGGTCGGGGAGACTTAGTTAATGGCTTTTGTGCCAGTTTCAATGTTTCAAGGTATAGGGTTTAGGGCTTGGGGATCATAACCCCAATTGGGATCCCACTTAGGGCACTTCTAAGTCTACTGTCTACTGGTTACCTACTTACTAAGTCCTGCGACCCTCCAGGTAGAGTCTACCTTGAGCCCTGCATCCCTACACCTTCTGTTCGGAGCTCGGCTGAATTTCGGTCAGGAAGCGTTCGTCCATCGCTTGAGGGAGAGGAGCCATTTGCGTCTGCAGCTTCTGGGGACGAGCTGCTCTGAGAACAACAATAAAGCTGGCGGCGCCAAAGTTCCAGCAAACGAGGTGTGATGATTTGGGATTCAGGATATTTTATTCCTTTGCTTGCATGAAAAACTCGCGGCTGCTGTGATGCTGACGCCCGTCGTGATGATGGTGCTGATGGTGGTGTTGGCGGTGGTAGTGGTGGTGATGATTGATGCCACTGCTGGCAGTGACAAAGACTTTTGGCAGGACAACTCTCATTGCAGCTATGTAGGGCTTGATGCTTCGATTTGTTGGTGCGTATGTGTTTATAGATGGTAAGGAACACAAAGGCACTGACAGAAATCAATGCGACTCTTGGTAAAGTAAGCCCTGCCCGACAGAAAGTTTGCAAGACTCATCGTAGCTGTGCATGGCCATGCCGGTTTCCAGATACATATGTATATGCATACACACACACACACACACATACATGTAGGGGTTAGGTTGCCATGCATCTGATTCTCCTAGGAAGCCCTATCCGCAAGTCCACGCAGCCGTAGCAGCTTCAAGCCACGCTAAAGCTTAATTTGTGGCTTATAGGGTTTAAAGCTTACGGCTTAAATTCAGGGTTTAAGGCTTTGGGCTTCGAGCTTACTGACTATAACAATAGTCCTAAACCCCAGATAACCGAAATAGTGAGCCGTACAGTACCTCTACAGAAACCCTATAACTACTCTATCAACCACGCCCTAAACCCTATAATCCTTAAACCCAACCGTGCTCTCGCAGAACCCTGGAAGGAACATCAAAAGAACCCTGGAAGAGATGGGTACAGCTCTGAATTAGGGTCCCTTGTTGGGTCCTTTGTATAAGTGTGCCGTACTAATTTGGGAACCCAAAACGGGACCCTAATTTGAAGAAGTACCCACATGGTACCCTTATAATACTTTTACACGAAAATGAGACCCTTATGGATCCCTAGACGATATGACTGACGCCAAAGTTAACTGGAACGACCGGGTGCTTTTCTGTCGAAAGAATCAGGGCACCGGACTCTTGACGGACAAAATCCTGCATTACCCCAGGGTTCTGCACTGCAAGAGTTCTAGACTGTTAGGGTTGTAGGATTTTGTATTCCTCTAGAAACCCAGGACTTTTATTTTTAGGCCCCCAGTACTCGGCGTGAGGCACACCAACATGGTCAACGCATGCTTCTCTACTACTCAGACGTGAAACCCTTCATGGGCAAGGCAGAATTTGGTTCATCAGTCGGCTCACACTCACTCAGTGTCCTCCTCGGGGATCGTGTCCTGGCGGAAAAAACAGGAGTTCGCAGAGAGTCCAATAGCCCTGAATGCAGAAAACTAGGTCACACGCGCGTGAGGCGCCTGGCTACTTTCAAGGGTCTCAATGTGCTTATTTCCTGGGTTGTGGTATGATTTTAGCTAAATTTCAATTTATTAGCAAGAGCTGAAACTATTCATTTTTAGTGACACATCAGCTAATTTACAGCAGGAAATGCTGTTTTGGGGGTGTGGTTTTCTCTTGTCTGAAACACTGTGAACCCTCAAGACTCGCAACCTGCACATAGACCCAGGCCAAAGTCGCACCTCAACCCGAAAGACCACACAAAACCCTGGCGGCCACCAGCCAGCAAAAGTACATGGCTGCAGTGGCACCGGCTACATGAGTGGTCGGAGCCGCAAGGAGCAGCTGACATACAAGAAACTTGAAATCCTGGTCTGTAGATGCATACGAGGCCACAGCTCGTTCTTACCCCCCCCCCCCCCCTTCCCCCTCCCCCCCATGCCCCCTAGTGCAATGCACGATTTATCCAGGCGCCTGGTGCGCGTGTAACCAACTACCTTCGGGTGTACTGTAGGGCTTCTTCGTATGATTTGAAGAGGCTCAGGAATATTGGACTCTGTGGAAGGTATTTTGCTCTGCAGCTCCAGCTGTTTAGATTCAGAATGGGACGCTGTGGATTGAGCTGCATGCAAACTGTGTAAACCATCCGACTTCCTAAACCAAAAACCCAAACCCCGTAAACTCTCAAACAAACAAAACAGAGGCTGCCCGAACGCCCGACAAAGTACTGAAATCCTAAACCCAAAGCCCTAAACAAAGACCCCCGTTGACCTAAGACACCCCAAGAGTCTAAATCCTGCGGAAGCTTACACCTCAGGTGCGAATTTAGTCATCATAAACTTTCCCAAGTACTACGTAACCTACAAACCTGCCCAATCCTGACTATGTACCTAATTTTTACATTACCCTGAAAGTAAATTTAACGGGCCAACCTCGGTCGAGGATCGCGTAATGGTCCTTGGACAACATATGAGGGTTTCCGAAAATGGGGGACCCTAATATACTACCCTAAATAGTAGGATCCTTATTATAAGGACCCCTACATAAGGTACCCCTGGTTTCGGAAACTCCCATATGGGAGGATTCAGAGCTGGCTTGGGGTGTAGGGTTTAAGGTTTAGGAGTTTGGGGGGTTTAGTTTAAGGTTTATAGGGTTTAGGGTTCAGGGTTTAAGGTTTAGGAGTTTAGGGTTCAGGGTTTAAGGTTTATAGGGTTGAGGGTTTGGAGCTTATGGCTTCGGGTTCAGGGCTTCAGGCCTGGAGTCTAGCTAGTATGTCAGACACAACGAAAGAGTTCTGTTATCAGGTTAACTGAACAAGTCCTCTGTTCAGGATATATATATATATATAATGTATCAATATATATATATATATATATATAAATGTATATATATATATATATATATATATATATGTATAAAGATATACATATATATATATATAGATATAGATATAGATATCCATAATTAACAGTCAGGGTGTTTGCGCAGGGCTGTTGCAGGATGCCTTTTGCGGGTTTATAGACTTTCGGGCCTTGCTCTCTTGCTTGAAGCTTCTTCCACTCTAGGCTGGGGGAGCAATAGAGTATAGAGCTATTGGGCCCAAAGGCTCCATGTACCCATACAGTAGGATCTTAGGCCTTAAAGTACCCATATAGGGACCCCTTTAAGGCCTAAGTACCTACTACATGGGTACATGGAGCCTTAGGGGGGGTTCAGGCCTGTAGAGTTATGCCCTTGAGATGCCACACCGGTGACAATGCTGCGGCACGCCATGAACTGATCTATGGCTTTCGCATGTTTTAGCCTGTGAACACCTTATTACTGGCGAGACTTCAACACGAGGCCCAAAAACTGGAAACCGTGACCCCCTCATTCTGAATCCCCCAAGCTTATGTAATGTATGAACCCTAAACCCCGAACCCTCATAACAGCCTTACAGTGTCACTCAGCAGAACCGTTCGAGAAACCATTTGAAGGCTATACCACCCCTTAGAACCGTGACAAAACTTAAACTTTGAAAACTCTCCTGGGTTTTAGATGGGCAAAATCAAAAATGATTCCCACGGAGACTATAGAAAGGAAGCCTTAACCCTATACCCTTTACAGGAGCCCGAGCCTGCCTGAAAGAAAGCCTAAGCCCTTCATCCGATGGCGTCGACGGAAGGACCAGAAAGTGCGAGCCCTGATAAACCCTACCTCGTTAGGGCGCCTGGGGTTTATAGGTTGTATAGTTTATAGGTTTGCTTTTGCATTTAGGGTTTTGGGTTTATAGGGTTTGTAGGATTTAGGGTTCCTAGGGCCTAGGTCCTAGGGTTTAGCTGTTAGGGCTCATCGGGTTTATAGTTTAGGGCTTCTACAGTTCACCCGAAACCCTGTAGCACATCCGCGAGCAAGCCGTCGGAGAAACCCTAAACCCTTTAAACCCTTTAACCCCAAACCCTAAGCTCCTAAACCTTCAATCCTAAACCCTACAATAGAGGGAATTGTCGGGCCACTGTCTGGGGTTTAGGGTCTAGGGTTTAGGGTTTATGGGGTTTAGGGCTTATGGAGCTTATAGGGTTTATAGGGCTTATAGGGTTTATAGGGCTTAGGGCTTAGATGGTTTATGTTCAAGGCTTATAGGGTTTATAGGACTTATAGGGCTTGTAGGGTTTAGGGCTCCTAGAGTTCACGGTTTAGGGTTTATAGGGGTTTTTAGCGTTTAGGCTTTAGGGTTTAGGGTTTAGGGTTTAGGGTTTAGGATTTAGGGTTTAAGGTTTCTAGGGTTTAGGGTTTAGGGGTTCCTTATCATGAGCTCCTTGAAAAAACACTTGAAAAGTGTATTGTTCGGTAAAGTAGGGGGAACCAGAATGCAAACCTGCAAGTCTCCCCATTGGCAACTGAAGTCTCCCTCCCAATGGTCTTGCAGCAGTGATTCCGGGAGAGTCTGCGTGAGGGCCCAGCTGTGCGAGAAGTTCTGCAAGCAGGGTCGGTTTCGAGGCTGCTACACGACCTATACCCAACTTAGTGGATTCCACATGATAGCTCTTGACTTCTGAAATTCTGAAACCGTACTTGGGTATCGGACTTAGTGAAATTTAATGTCTGATCCCGGCTTCTTAGTTGAATTTGGCTTAGTCTTTAAGGGACAAATAATGGAATGTCGTCATTTCTTAGCATTTCGGGTCTAGGACTTAGGGCGCAGGGCCGGGTTTAGGGTGAAAGTAGTTGCCAGGCTTGCGACTTTCCCTTCTAACAAGTACGATGGTTCTGGAAGGCTGTGAAGTGCTGAACAAGGACATAACCGACCCGGTTTTGACTGCCAATCAATGAATGCTCCGCTTAACCCTGTGTGAGGTAGACGTGAATGATTATAACCATCTTTACTTTGGAGTATATTATAACCTCATAGTATAGTCACGTCGAGTCATATGGAGCTATGGTCAATCATTCCGACCGACCCCTGATAAATCGATGTGGTTAATGTAGGAACCTGATTTGTTTGGTTTCCTTGTATGATTCGTACTAGTTTGGGGGTTATAGGCCCAGGATTTCTTACTCAGGTTCCTACATTATCCTAATTATAGCACCCTGAGCCCTCAAAGAAAGTACCCTTATAGTAACTCTTGTAGGACCCCTTTAAAGGGCCCCTAGTCTTATAGACTCTGTTCCTACATTATCTGCTTCTCCACTTTGCTCCCGCAAACTTACTTAAAGGATCATCGGACTTAGTAACTACGGTTATAACTAGGGTAACTATACTTATAACTACTTCTAACCCCAATTAGGGTACTTATAACCTTACTTACTAAGTCCCTTGATCCTCCAAGTACCCACACGCAAGGATCCTGGGAGACTTCGAAGGATTTCTTTTTGGCTTTGGCAGGAGATCCTTCCGAGGGCTGATGATCGCAGCTTGGGTTAGGGTTGGGTTTCGGGTTTAGGGTTTAATTAGGGTTTAGGAACTGGGGGTCAGGGTTGGGTTTTGGGTTTAAGGTTTAGGGTCTAGAGTCTATGGCAGGAGATCTTTCCGAGGAGTGCGCTAGGTTTCTGATGATCGCGGCTTAGGGCCTAGGGCCTAGGGGGGTTCAGGGTCGAGGGTTTACTTACCTTTGTAGGGAATGGAAGAATGGTAGTAATAGTAGTTATAATTGTACCCCATTCCTCCATTCCCTATTAACCAAAGGTAAGTTTAGAGGTCGCAGAAACAGCCCGAGATTCCAGAAAGCTGGCCGACCCGAGGTTGCAAGTTGAGTTGGTACTGTTGGGACTGTAATATTTAGAATAAGGTTTTGGGGGCCCGTTATACTATAACTATAGTAAGGAACTCTCAAAATAGGTAATCATTCAAGGTCCGAATATTAACAGAAACCTAGAGGCTCCAGATACGGTACCATTGTGGGATTAGGTCTCTAAAACCCTGATAAGGATAGTCTTTTGGGGCCTAATTCCATAATGGTACTATGGATGGAGCCTCTGGGAAAGCTAGGGCAGGTGGACATCCTAAAGCTTGAACCCACCGCAGAGTTTACGGGGCTGGAGAGGTTCATATGAAGGTTAAGTTTAGGGTTTGTTTGGAGGTTTGGGGCTTTCTATTTTGCAGCTTAGTTCCGGACAAAACACTAGAAAACCCGATACAACCATGTGGAGCATGCCTCTCAGACCTCCTTATAGAGCCCCTTATGAAACTCCATAGTACCCTATGAACTAAACCTACTCCCCTAAAGCCTAAACCCTAAACTCTAAGCCGACACTCCTGCAGGCTCCCTGTACATCAACCTGAAGCCTGTGAAAACCTGCTACTAACGCATGAATGACTAGAACAGGGTGCTGGAGACTCAGCTAGACAAGGTCTTGGAAAGACCCCAGATGCTCCACATAGTGGGCTCTCAAAACTCAACATAGAATACACGGACTCTGGCACTACAAGGGTGCTGGGGTATGTTGTACTATAAATGTACAGAGTGGGATGGAGCGGTAAGGGTTCCGACCCCCGTGTTATACACAAATCCTGTAAATGTTTGGCTTAAGGTTCCGAGGCACCTTTATAGTATAGCTATAAGGCCCTAAGGAATAATCTTAGTCTTAGTAGACTATAGTAGACCGTATGTACTACCATTATGGAGTTAAGTCCTGAAACCACAATAAGGATGGTCTTTTGGGACCTAAACCCATGGTGGTAGTATGTATGGAGCCTGTGGGTTAGGCTCAGAGTTTAGCGCTCAAACCGCTCGATGGTCCTGCCAATGCGACTGGACTTGGTCCGTGAATTGGAGGAGCGCTGTGGTTAATTCCACCTGATTAGGGTTTATAGGGGGTACTTTGGGGATCTAAAGCGGTACTTTATAGGGATCATCAAGGGATCTATAAGGAAGGGATCTAACAGAGTTAGAGTGCTTTGACGTGGTTCTTGTTAAGGGATCTCTGAGCTACTAGAACAAAAAACCATATTATATATTATTTAGTATAGGTACCTAGATATATTTTAGTAACTTAGATTGGACTCCTTAATGTGAACCCAGTTTAGAGTTTAGGGTTTTTTTGCATCAGAAGGGTCTGGGGCTTAGGGTCTTCAGGATTTAGGGTTTAGGGCTTTTAGGGCTTAGGGTCCTTTGGGCCCTTAGGGTTAAGGCCTTTACGGTGTCGGGTTAACTCGACTTTAGGACTTCTGTAATGGATGCTTTCAGGGTTCCTTTAAGGGTTACCATAAGAGTTTAGGCTTCGACTCGAAACGTTACAACCTGAACCCTCAACCATTTGAGCGCAAGATACAGTGACAGCGCAGTGGTTCGGTAAGGATTCCTGTCGAAAGGCGGCTCGTCTACAATGGTTACCTACATTGCCACACTTCGGTATGGCTCCATACCTGATCCTACCACAGCCTATTTTGTGGAACCCAGAGGATCCATGTATACTGCCACTGTAGAATGGAAGTAAGTCCCAAAAGACCATCCCTGTTATGGCTTTGGGAACCGAACTCCATAATCGGAATTAGTATAGTAGCATCTATCGACCCTCTTGGTAAGGGCCCTACAAGTCCTAGAAAAGGAACTTCATAATCGTCATTAGTACACTAGTATCTATGGACCCTCCTGGTAAGGGCCCTGCGGTGGATGATATAAATCCTGCATTACCTTCATGACCCTAAACTATGGGAATTATGGTATATTCCTTAATATGGGTACTGCAGGATTTATACCATCAACCGTACAGGTCCCTGGAAAAAGGAGGCTTCACAGTCCGAGGAGCAGTGTGGGGGCTGGTCTTGTGTCGGCCCGCCTGGCGCAGTCTGGTAGGGACCCGAAAAAAAAACCTACTGCTGATGGACAAAATCCTGTATGACCCTGAGGACTCTAAACTATGGGAACTATGGTACTGGGAGGAACTGGCAAGCATTTAAAAATCGGACGCTTAACTTTTGTTTTGCCGAAAAAATCCTGTCTACACATTTTCTGTGAACAGCAATAAGCAACAACGTCGAGCAGTAGATTTCAGCCATCCGTCTAAGTACCGGTTTCGCTGGAACGGGATACCTTTTTGTTAACATGTAAGTTTCTGTATACTCATAAACGCAACACTAAAATAGACAAGCCGCAATGTTCTGCAACAAGGTTGCCTGCTAGGGCGGATTAGGTCTGAATAGGAAGTATGTAATACGATGGCCATAGTTGTACCCTAGAACATACCCCCTGGAAGTTGTAACCTCAGGATGCCCAAACTGCCACGCATGAACTCCAACAGGGATGAATCCGAAGTCGACAGCGTCACACCCTAGCAGCCCTGAGCCTGGCAATTGGCGGTTTTGCAACGGGCTCAAGAAGATCGCAGGCTGATGAAGCGATATTGGTTTGCACTTAAATCATTTAGGGTCGGGCTGAGGTCTGATGGCATTTTATTAATTAAACATCCTTAGAATTTGCGCCAAGCAGTTTTTGAGGAGACTCGGGGCTCAAGCGTCCTGGCAGTGATCTGATGGTTTTGGAGCTTAAACCCTTTATTCGTGCCACTGGTGGCAATCTCTTCCGAATCGGAACCAGCCTCAAATTTGCTTTTTCGCCACCCACCCAATTTCGTTTTTCAAAAGAGCTCCCCGGATTTAAACGCTTGGGACAGCACGCAGCCTTCAGGGCCTTCAATTAAAAGTAGTACAGCTCCTTCTCCCTGTGGTTCGTCAAATCTGAGAAAAGCACCGGCGCGGCATTTAACTACGCCCCCACGATTTTCAAAAACGAGAATTGCGAGCGCCCGATTTTTGAAATTTCCACAATACCAGAAAAAACGATTTTCAAAAACAGATAACCGTATTTAAATGCTTGCCAAGATATAGAAACATGAAACAAAACAAAACTGCCGCCGCAGTCTGGCAGGACTTCGCGCGAGGCAGCGACATGAACAGTACGAGGCTTTGTGCTGACAGATGCCTTGTAGTTGGAACAACCTCGCAGCTAGAAGGTCATGAGACCCCTAAATCTTACACCCGAAACCCTAAGCCATAAACCCTAACCCCGAAAATCGAACAAGCTAGGGTTATCATGTTCCTACTTCGCATCATCGGTTACGCTGGTGGTGGCCACCAGCATTGTCCCAGCAACAAAAAATATCTTTAAACACGTCCAATTGTTGAAATCCGCTGGTGTGGCATGCGAGGGCTTGCACGTAGTGAGCTGCTCACAAGGCAATCGCCCGTCTCTCTGTGTGATTTTGGTTTCGATGACGATGAAAACAAGCATACCTGGGTACTCTCTCGGGCATGATGTGGCACGGAATACATTTTTGTGCCGCCCGCGTAACTCAAATTTCGTGGCAGCCTGTTTTGATTGCGTAGCGAAGCGCTGATTCCACTTTATTGTATCAGGGCTGTGGGGTGGTCCAAGAAAAACTGCAAACATGCATGTCAAGGGTTAAATGCTTGGTAGTTGCTCTGAGGTACATTCCTTATAATGGGTAATGCAGGATTTTGTCCATCAGCAGTATCGCGCCCCCACCCTTCTAATGAAGCCCACTCAGGGTCGGATATTCCTGTAAGTGCGTAGGATTATGTCCTTCCCCACACCTCCACTTACCCAATAGTGGGTTCCTAACCATATGCTATAAACCGCAGTTAACCTACTATTTAGGTAACAGGAGCCCTATAGGGCTTGTTGGGTCCCAAAGTCTTGCGTTCATGAAGCGTTCTTGTTTCCAGAGTTCGGGGCTCTGGATGTTGGCATCGGGCGAACTTTCACCGTAGAAAACTCAAAATAGTTACCCGAACCCTCACAGGCACGCAAACAAATTGCCAAACACCTATAACAAAAAGGCCATTATTAGCCTTTGGAGCCTTAAACAGGAGAGGGTTTAGGGCTGCCAGCTTGTCTTTGGTGTTCTAGGGCTTTACTTTCCCTTCTCGCGTCTCCCCGCCTTCATGCCAAAGTGCTGGACAAACGCCCGCATGTCACGCTGCAGGATCCGGAGCTCGGATGTGTAGCTCCCGAAAAATGCCTCGGGTGTCGGTGGGAATAGGGTTTATGGGGCTTTGTGTCGGGGGCTTGGTGTTGACGGTACTGGCGCTTAATATTTTCACGCACTAACCTTTTCCCATCGGTTCACACAAGGTTCGCAACAGCATGACATCTGAATAGTATTCTATCGAGGGAAGACCTGGAAGTATGGATTCAACGTATGGGGACACGCCAACCTACACCCCCAAAGCCCTACACTGGTAAAGCCCTACAGCCCGTAATAATCAAGAACATCTTAAGCCCTAAGCTCCTTAAACCTGTCGATGCTTTGATGCCGGAGACACCGTAAGGCGGCTCTGGAAGATCTTCGCAGTGTTGTAGGCTTCGCCATATGCCTTTCAAGATCCGATCGTGGGGCTTTCTGCCCACGGTACGGTTAGGGGTTTATGGTTTAGGGCACTTCGGTGCCAATCATGCTCCCGCCTCAGATTGGTGCGAAATTTGAACTCGTGGTTTGCTCTTGGCAGGTTCAGGGGAGCTCCTGGAATGCCTTGTGTATGTATGTGCGGCTTGCGCTGCCGCTGGTGCTCTCTCCCGTTTGCTGCCTATGCTCTGGGCTACGGTTGAGAGGGTTGGGACTGGGTTCTGGGAGCCAGCTGGGAACAGGGTTTCAATCTTCGCATTCGAACAAGAAGCTTCTGCACATGCTTCTCGTTCAAATTGCCGACATGGGACCTCCGTCCCACCTGAAATGAACTAATATGGGGCCTTTATGACTGACAAGGTGTTTCGGGTATATTCCACGCCGGGTAATCATTCCGACGCCTCGACATACACTCTCCCCGAAGGAACAGAACTCCACGCAGGATCAGGGGGGACGAAGTAAGCAGGGGGAAAATCCGTTACTTTGTCTAGGGTTGTACAAGGCTTTCAGGTCCAGCCCAATAAAAGAAAATCACAGCTTCGGGTTTCGAGTTCGTTTAGAAACCCAAACCCTGCCCTAAAACTCCCAAAGGGGTCATGGGCTGTCTGGGGGAAGGGTTCGGGCTTTGGGGGCTGAGGTCTGGGATTTCACTACGAGGGTCCAGGAGCCTTAGGGTGAACCCTAAAACCCAAGAGCCGAAACCTTTTCCGGGCTTCAGGGTGGTAGAGGTTACAGGGACTTGGGGTTTTGGGTTCATGAGCGGGTCTATAAACTCCAAGGGGAGACTTCTCAAAGGTGACAAGGGCATGGAGAAGGTATAATGCAATGTGGATCCCTGAAGAGTTGAATTAATGATACTTCTCCTCGGGCTCTCTTACTATAGTGATACCATAGCCATAGCCCCCAAAACCCTAATGTAGGGGGGGGGCTCCTGATTGTAAGAATTATAGTAGAACATGCTGCCAAACCCTATTCCAATTATATAGGCCCCTACATAATGTTATCTATCCCAAAGCCCCAAAACCTTGCAAAGCCTGGCATTGTAACCCTAAATCCTAAGCCTGCGCAGCCCAACCATGCACAACCCCCCAGAACCCAACATCGCTAACAGCCTGCAGGCACTGTCACTGCCTTGGGTTTACAGTAGGGCTAGGGTTCAAGGTTCGGGTTTTTTCTAGCGGTTTAGGAAACCCTAAACCATATAACCCCAGGGCTCTTAGTCGTCTGAGGCTTTGGCGCTGTGGATGCCCAAAACGACCTGCTCACCGTACGGGTGCGAGAGCATGACCTTGGAAGTCGGTGTTCCTTTAAGGGTTTAGGGTGTAGGTCCTGTTTGAGGGTTCTATAAGGTTAATATAGGTTTAAGGGTGTTTAGGTCTTGGTGTCCATACAGTCCTTGGAGACGAAATGAATCCATAACAGGGTTTCAGGTTCATATACCATATAGGATGCATACTATGAGAGCACAGGGCTCGTACTTTTGAGGGTTACTTGGTCCTTAAGGTTCGGATGGCTACGGCTAGAGATGTGTAACATAGGGGTCGTTTTACTGTCCCCTTACACCATATACCCCCTATGCAAATATTATTCGAGTATGTAACAATATCACTCAAATGCTTAGTCTGGTCTACATAAGAACGTGCCTATATTCTATTGAAACCTCACAGGTCCACTCAAGCGTCTGTATTCATGAGGGTTTAGAGTTGTCGGCTTTGGTTGCTTTGATGCACGGTGGAGACAGCCCCCCCCCCGTCCCACGAAGGACAACGTTCAACACGTGTAGGCCAGCAGTACCCTAAGGGTGCGCAAATTCATGTAGTATATACTTTGGCCCCGAGGTATCTCTATAGGGTTTACATTAAGGCCAAAGTAGAAATCATATGAGCACAGGGGCCCTTGGTGGTGCAGTTTGACATCAGAGGCGCCGCAGTATCATGGGCTTGCCATTTCAACGAATTCCCAAGGCACAATACTAGTAACCGATGACGGACCAAGCCCAAACCCCCATCCGCCACCGTCCTGGATTGCGGGTATGTAGAGGAAAGGAAGGAGAGCTCGGGGGCCCTGAAAACTCTAAACCCTAAAGCCTTACGTAACCCCAAACCCTTCCACCCCATACTCTGAAAATCAAAAACTCTAAAACCCTAAAGCCTAAACCCCTAAACTCCTAACCCTGAAACCCTAAACCAAAAACACCCCCGGCCTCTGCGAAGGGCTGCGATTTGAGGGCGACCTCTAGGGGAGCATCTTCGATGGGCAAGTGCGCTCAGCGGCCAGGGTTTATGGCTGTACCTCACACTGAAGAACCCTATGGTGGTCTTTTGGTATAACCCTATGGTAGTCTGTTGGTATAACCCTATGGTGGCCTTTTGGTATAACCCCATGGTAGTCTGTTGGTATAACCCTATGGTGGCATTTTGGTATAACCCCATGGCAGTCTTTTGGTATAACCCTATGGTGGTCTGGTGGTGGAACCCTATGGTGGTCTGTTGATTTAACCCTATGGTGGTCTTTTGGTATAACCCCATGGTAGTCTTTTGGTATAACCCTTAAGGAACCGCAAACATCGCCTGCTTTCAGGACCGGGGCTTGTCTGTTCATCGAGAACTTGTGTTAAGTGCTCTGTGTAAGTGCAACCGCGAGCGTGGTTCAGTCATGCAATATATGGCGTCCTTGCAAGGGTGCAGGGTTTAGGGTCTGGGGCCTACGTAGGGTTTGGGGGGTTTGACAATGGTGGTTACGGATTTCGGTGTCGGGTTCTTGGGTTGATGGTATAGGATTCAGGGTTTATAGGCCCTGAAGGGTCCATGTGCCCATGACTATCTAGGAATGCCTCTGAAGCCTAAATTTACACCGTTCTTGGCAGGTACATTGACACTTAGGGAGACTTGACCTCAAGAACCACTGTACCCGGTAGTAAAGGAATCTTCTCCAAAATTGCGGGGTTTAAAGCTGAGGACATATCGGACCCTGAAACCCTGAACCCCTAAACATCTAAGCCCAAGACCATGAACTCCAAACCAAGAGCCCGATAATTCATAAAGCTCAATCCCTACCCCGACGCCATCATCGCGTCGTAACCGAACCCTCAGAGAACCAAGCCTATACTACCGCCCAAAAATGCACAAAGCGGTGCCGTGCCTCAAATAATTCCATGTCCGGATCAAAGTAAGCTTCGAAGTGGGCACAAAGTTCGCGCTGAACAAACGAAAAATCTTCTTGCCTTGGTCGGTCTTTGGTTTATGGTCCAGGGCTTAGGGTTTAGGGCCTAGGGTTCAGGCAAGGGGCTGGAGCAAGGTCGCAAGCCCCAGCAACCCTCCCTGTTTAAGGGAGCCATCTTTGTTCTTTGTTTGTTTAAGTGGTTGCAGCTTCGGCTCTGATGATTTGGGGGGGTGAAATATGAGGGGGCCTTAGTAATTCAGATTGAATTGGGGTTTTAGTGTATTTTACAATGAGCAAGAGGCCAAGACATTTCAAGGAATAATGTTGGTAATCACTCAGGCTTCTAGATTAGGGCCGTCTGGCCTGCGTTACAGTGCCGCACACTTCTGCAGAACAAAACACGGAATCACAAGCCCAAAGGACCCTCACAGGGTAGCCTCATGTAGGCGGGTAACTTCAACCCACTCAATTCCCAATCCCGCCATTACAAGTCCCTTTTGGAAGGATCCCTAGTAAAGCCTGAGAAAACGTACGCAGGACCTACGGTTCAAGTTGGAGCATACCATGGCTCCCCTCCGTGGCAACTCTCATGGGTCATTCTTCCGGAAGAGGAGGTTGTCGGGGTCTGCGTTTCTTGCATACCACCATTTCGAACGGTTTTGCAGCTTTGCCTGGTTTCAAGTATTGAAAATCAGATCCTAGTTCCATTACTACCTGTTCAGACTTCCACATCTTTTCCCAAATAAGGGACTCTGGAATCCGCAACCCTCACCCCCAAACCCGGAAGTTTGGGAGTCTTCCCCTGAACCGTAAACCTTGAACCCTAAACCCTAAACCTTAAACCCCAAACCCTAAACCCTAAACCTTAAACCCTAAACCTTAAACCCTAAACCGTTCCATTTGGCAGCTCAGTGACAGTCTCTTCGCCTCCTGGCAGGCCCGAAAAAGATTAGTCTAGGAACCCTAGGTTCGTTTGATAAAAGGGGCATCAGAAGGGTTCCTTTAAAGGGCGCAATAAGGGTACTGTAAGGGTATCGGGGTTTAGTAAAGTATTTTGAAGGGTTCCTTTACAGGGCGCAATTATGGTACTATACATAAGGGTATACAGGGTTTCAGGGTGTTGAGTCTAGGATCGTGAGCCCACTAAGGGAAAATCTAAAATGGCCCGCAATGGCCCACCAAAGACTGATCGCAAACACATGAGCCTGCCCAGAAAGCTCAAGAGTTCGGGTCTGACGAAGGGATAAATGGGTCTAGGGATGAGGGATGAGGGCCTGATGAGGGGTCCAGGGTTTGGTTCAGGGTTGTTGGCTCATGATGCCCCGAGGAGGACGATCACAAAGCGGCCCGAGGAAGACGATCGCAAAGCGGCGGCTGCCATTGAACACTGCTGGTGTTGCCACTGGTAACGGAGCTGCTAGGAGCGACGCTGTTGTGCTTGCTGTTGTTGCTGTTGCTGTTTTTTGGGGTATTGTTGCTGTTAGTGTTGTGCTTGCTGTTCTTGCTGTTCTTGCTGTTCTTGTTGTTGTAGTTGTTGTAGTTGTAGTAGTAGTTGTTGTTGTTGCTGCTGTTGTTAGTGCTGCTGTTGTTGTTGTTGTTGCTGCTTTGGCTGTACCTGCTGTTGTTGTTGTTGTTGCTGCTGCTGTTGTTGTCGTTGCTCTTGTTGCTGTTGTCTGTTGCTAGTGCTGGTGCTGTAGCTGTAGCTGTTGGCATTGGTGCTTTTGGTGTTGTTCGTGTAGTCTAGACCCAAGAGTAACCTGGGAATAAAAAGGGTGCCCTTTTTAGTTTAAAGGGGCTTATAAGGGAACCTGAACCCTACAAAAAGGGAATAAGGGCCTACTCCAGGTCCTAGTAGTTGTTGTTCATGGTTTTGTTGCTCTGCATATGACTCATGTTATTCTTGTAGCTTCTGTTGCTGTTGCTGTCACAGTCGCTGTTGCTGTTTCGGTTGTTTTTGTTGTTGGTGCTGCTGCTGGTGCTGCTATTGCTGGTGCTGGTGTTGGTGATATTGTCATTCTTGCTATTCGTGTTACTAGTGGTGTTTGTGTCATTGTCGTCGTTGTTGCTGTTGTTGTTGCTGTTTCTGTTGCTGCTCATGCTCCTGGCCTGTTGCTGTTGTTGTTGCTGTTGCTGTTGCTGTCGTTGTTGTTGCTGTTGTTGTTGCTGTTTCTGCTGCTGTTGTTGGTGTTGTTGCCGTTGTTGCCGGCGGTGTCGGTGGTGGTTAACATTGCTTGCCAGTCGCTGGCTGGCTGTTGCTGGCGTTGATGCCACCGACGATCATTGCACGTCCTTGCGTTCATCCGGGTGCTGCTGACCGTGTGCATGGAGCTGCTGATATTCATGAGAGGCGACCTCACCGAAAACGATGAAGGAGTGGGAAACGTAATGACTTAAACGACTACAAGACTGGTGGCGATGATGGTGGCGATGATTGCATCAGAATTCAATAAAACTCAGAACCAGAACATGTAAACCCTGGAATCTGGAACGCAACCCAAAAATCCAGCCGAGCCCAACCCCGATCCTGAACTCCAAACCCCAGAAGCCCAGACCCGAGACCTCATAAGCTCAAACCTGAAAGCCTCACCATTTTTCAACCCGCCTCCCGTCATGGGGAGCTTCCCTCCGAAAATAGGGGACCCTAATATAGTACCCTAAACAGTAGGTTCCTTATTATACGGAACCCCAAACGAGGTACCCCTAATTTTCGGAAGCTCCCAAATCGCAAATCCCAGACCTCAAATCCCGAATCCCAGGCGCGAAGAAGAAGGGTTAATAGTTAATGGGTTAAGGTTTAGGGTTCAGGGCCCTAAACCCTACACCCTTAAACCCTGAACTCTAAGCCCCTAAACCCCTAACCCCTAAACCCTAAAACCCTAAACCCCAAAACCCTAAACCCAAAACCCTAAAACCCCAAAACCCTAAAACCCTAAACCCCTAAACCCTACAACCCTAAACCCTAAATCCCTAAAACCCTAAACCCCTGAACCATAAAACCCTAAACCATAAAACCCTAAACCATAAAACCCTAAACCCTTTAAAGGAGCCCTTAAAGGAAACCCTATAGATCCTTTAGATCCATTTAAAGGAACCCCAAACCCGAATCAGCGCCCCTTTCAGCAGCTCCTGCATGCAGGTCTCCCACTTCAGGCCCTTATGGTCTCGGAGGCCTCGAACCTGTTCAGGGTTTAGGGTTCAGGGTTTAGGGCTCAGGGTTTAGGGTTGAGGACTTTGGGTCTACCTTGACCCTGAATAGCCTACTTTTCTAGGGTTCCTTGTTATGATTTCAAAAAAAAAGTCCTTAAAAAGGTAGGTTATCCCGGGTTAAGGTAGGGTTTAGGGTCTATGGTCCAGGGTATAGGGTCCAGGTTTTAGGGATTGAGGATTGGTTTCCGGGGCCCCTTTTGCCTCACGAGCCCGCCACGGGTTCAGGGTGCAGTGCAGGCCTTGGGTGTTTGGGGGAGTTCGACTCATCCGGACATGCGCGACTACGTTCAACCCAAAGTCCTTAAGTATAACTGTAAATACCCATAGGCTCCATGGTAGTTCCTTTTTGGGGTTCATATTTAGAATCTTATAAGGCTCCCGAAAAGGAACTACTATGGAGCCTGTCGGTATACTGTAAATACCTAGAGGCTAGGGATGGAGCATTAGCATCTAGGAGTTGAGGGAAGTGGCTATGGCTGTCAGGTGGTATGCGGGTTATCAAGATTCGGAATTCGGATTCGCAGATTTATGCTGTGAGCTCTTTCAAAATCAAACGCTTGAGGGTTTCCGGGGTTATTACTTCTATATCAAGGATCTCTTTTGTTGTCTACGGACTTTCCTACGGAATACATAACACAGGAACCCAGGCCGGTTTTACAAGGTCTAAGGGTTACATAAGGGTAGAAGATCCAATGGTAATGTCTTGGTTGAGACCAGCTCGGGAAACAACTGTGTCTCATGTTCAGCAATCCTGCAGCACCCTCTTCAAGTTCTTCAGGTTTAGGGCGCAGGGCTTAGGCTGCACCGTAGCCGAAGGACCCAGTAATTTATATTATGTACATATACGTTGCCCTTAAGAAGCATGCGGCTCTATATCTTATACTCTGAATCCGATACGGGAGATGAACCATACTGAAGCCGTTAATGAGGTCTCATTTGGCCCGCAAGGGTTTTCCCGATCGACTCCAAGATCAGGAACACCAAACTGGCCACTCTTCCGACTGATCACAGGCGAAGCGCATCGTCTTGAAACTCCTGCAGCGTCCTGCATGCAGCCATGGGCTAAGGATTTAGAGGGCTTGGGGCGACGATGTGTGACGGTTCAGGCTCAGAAACCGAAAACACTCACTGTGGGTTTGGGGTTGTGGAAAGCCCTTAGCGCCCAAATCTTGAACTCGGAACCCAAACCCTCAGCGGCACCAAAAGCACATCCTGGTTGGATCTCGGAAGGTCTCCCCATAAGAAACCTTGAAAGATTGAAACTATACACTCACCAAGTTCCTGACGAGCTCTATATATACTCACCGGGATCTCTAACATTTCTCGTTGGATCTTGGAGCCCTAAACACTCAACCCTGAACCCTAAACTGTAAACCCTTAAACCCTAAACACCAGGCCCTTCTGGAAAAGTAAGGAACCTTTGCAGGAGCCTGCAAAGCCTTAAAGCAACCTCGTCGATCTTGGAGGACTTTAGTCTAGGTTCCTGACTAGCCCCTTCATCAGAAGGGTACCCGTTTTAATAACGGAGCCCTAGAGTAAGAAGTGCAAAAGGGTACTACCCAGGAGCCTAGTACTTCACATCTGCATTGCCTAAACCCTTAAACCCCTGTGCAGACCAACATAACTTGCCTCATATCCCCAATGCAAGCCTCAAACTCCAACTGCTACCCCTTTAACCCTAAGCCCTGAAAACCCATAGAGTTTATGGAACCCTCAAAGACCATATAAAACCCTATGGCAAGCCCTGCAAAACCAGAATACACAAAGCTCAAGGGATCGTAAAAGGAACCCCGAACCCTAACCCATGGAATCCCCAAAACCGTCCTCGTTGGATCTTGCTGGAGCATCTGTTGGATCGCAAAGTGTAGCATGTTGTAATTCGTTATCGGCCCGACTCCTCCGGCATCGGCCGCGTCTGAAGGTCGAATATAAAAGCCTTCATAAGTAGAATAAGGGCGTGGGGCACAATAGCTGGAGTCGTGCTATGGGGTAGATTAGAGTACGTGTTATGACAATCGGAGCCGGCTGGCTAAGATTAATATGCTTCTCCCTTATGAAGGCTTGTAGGTGGTGACAAGAAGCTCTGTGGGATTTCAGTTAGTGTAGGGTGCCGGGGTTTGTAGAGGGTGAGCAAGTTTCTGCGGGCGATGGCCTCACAGAAGATGCCTTGAACCACAAAAATTCAATAGGGTTGAGGTTCTCGGATTATAGGTTTTTGGAGTTTGTTCCGGATTTCAGGGTCTTTAGGAATTGGGGCGTTGAAGCTTAAGCTCTCGGGGTGCGATGTAGGCTCTTTAGGGTCCATGGTTGGGATAGCATGAAAAATTCTACTGTGTATTCATTGTTGGGTTTCAATACCCATAAAACTGTGAAGCCCACCCAACTATGACATTGAGCTGCCTGAGCTGCATGCGACTGCAATACATTGGCTGTTTTTCGCATATCTGACTTCGTGCCTGCCAACCTGATGCCAAGAGCTCATGTGAGCAGAATTGGAACCAAGGTGGGAAGCTCTCGCACTGAAGGCTGCTCTGTCAAGCTTATGTCACATGATAGCTCCCGCTGCACGGGGCCAGAAACGCCGAAGACCCAAAGGCAGACCCTAAAACCCCCTAAACCCTAAACCCCTAAACCCTAAACACCTAAACCCCTAAACCCCCTAAACCCCCCAAACCCCTAAACCCGAAAGCCCCTCCTAAGGTCACGCTTGAAGTCCTGTGTTGCACTTGGTGTTCCGGAGGGCCGCAAGGGAACTAATGTCAACTCCTTTGAGTTGTCTGGCCGCCTTGATACAGGGTTTAGGGTTTAGGGGGTTTAGAGGGTTTAGAGGGTTTAAGGGCTTTAGGGGGTTTAGGGGTTTAGGGGGTTTGGGGGGTTTAGGGGTTTAGGGTTTAGGCTTTAGGGGGTTTAGGGTTTAGGGGTTTAGGGGTTTAGGGGTTTAGGGGTTAGGGGTTTAGGGGTTTAGGGGTTTAGGGGGTTAGCGGTTTAGGGTTGAGGCCCGAGTTGTCTGGCCGCGTTGATACAGGGCTTCTTGGACTTCTCAATGTGATGGCGGATGATACTGTTGATGGACAAAACATGCAGGATTTTGTCCATCAGCAGTAGTGGTGGTGGTGGTCACAGGTTCGATGACGAAGAAGATTGACGATACTGCTTCTGATGCACCCGGTGGCAGAGAGCACAAATAGGAGGTCTAGGGATTGATTGCTGAGAGCTTGGGCCACAAGACATTTCAATGTGTTTTTTGCGGTTCATTAAAGGGTATTGGGATCTCTGAGTTCATTCTGCGCTGTATGCTGCTCTGCCCCGTAGTCCTTGAGTTCTCGACATTCTCGATCCCTAAACCGGGCTGTCACAATCTTCCCAGCTTCCGATCACTTGAAATCCGGGAAATGGGGCAGTGGGCATGAAAGGCAGCCAGGAGACAGAATTTGAGGCACTCCCATAACACAAGAAACTTAGTGAAGTTATATATTATATATACTACAGCCCGGGGTAGGCTACAACTTCCAGAAGACGACAACAATGAAAGCATTATGCCCCTTAAGTTAAGTGTGTCTGGAGTGGCCCCTGGAATACATGCCTCCACCTCCGGACGACCCAACTTCTGAAAACTTCTGGGATGCACTGTTGACTTAGATCGTAGGGTTTGCAAGACGGACGGTTCATGTCAACTTTATAGGTCGCTTTGCGGATACTGAGCAGACTGACAAAGTCGCAGCAGCCTCCATGTAAAGCCGGAAACCCGGACTTCGAACCCCGGCAAGATTTGATCCCGAAGCCCCGTATCTAAAAACTCTAAGACTCAACCCAAAAAGCCCCAAACCCTAAGCTCTCACCTTCAACCTGAACCGTGAACCCACAAGTTCTGATCTAACCATCAACCCTGGACCCTGAACCCCAAATCATAGTAACCCCTAAACTCCAATCTAACCCTCATCCCTAAACCCTAAACCCCTAAACCCTATAGATCCCTTTAAGGAACCCGCCTATAATATAGATCTCTTTAAGGCCACCCTAAACAGCCGGGGCACATCTGGATGTGTCTCGTGATTGATGTAGTTGTAAAGTACAGTAACGACTGCAATAATGTGCCTCCGAGGCTTGTCACTTTGAGCCACGGTGAAGAGCTGAGGGAGGGATTTAGGGGGTTCAGGGTGCTTGCGGCAGAGTAAGTAGAATTGTGAGAATACGCACATTTGGTAACACAGATGCCTAGAATGTGCCATCTTCAATCAGAGGGTCCACATACCTACATATAAGAGGTACTTTGACCCGACCATGCTGCTTCGATCTTTGAGAGCCGCAGTAGATACTATTTGGTTTAAATCGATGCTGCGGAATTTCATTGCATGAAGCCTGTCAAGAATTGGACCTGGAGGCTACAAGACCTATGAGCCCCGACAAGTAGCTACACATCTTCAGAACCATGTTTGGCACTGCCCCACTGTTTAACTCCTGCTGCATGTTCTCACCGAACACCAAAGAAAGCTTCGCAGTCCATTTCAACAATCTGCCGACGACTCAGGGTTCGGAGGGCATAGGCCTTGAGGCAATTCCGCAGTCACCCCCCAATTCGTTGCATCGTGACCTTCAACCCAAACCATGGTGTACCTGGACCTGGCAGGCACATTCCAGCAAGCGCCTAGGGACATACATCGTCATACATATAGATCTCTTTTTCAGTCGTAGCATCCCTCGCGCCCAAATTGACTATGCCTCTAAACCCGATCCCCCAACCCCAAACTTTTAGTCCCAAATTTTACACTGGTTCTGGACAAGGAGCTTCAGCGTCTCAGACGCGCCTTGGAGAGCAACGAGGGTTGTTCAAGCTGTCAGACCATAAGAAGGAACCCTGCTTTTGGAGGGTTTTTGAAGGGTTCCGGTAACTTTAAAGTTTAGAGAGTGTGCGAAAGACAGGGGTTTATCGTGCTTGGGGCTGTTGGTATCAGGGCACGGGCTGCTTTTAAGTTAAGGTACTGCAAAGGTTGGCAACAAAGCTTCTTAGGCTTGGAAGTTTTCTCGGAGTTTCAAGAAGCTTGAATATTTGGATTTAGGGTTTAGGAGCTTGGGGTGTAGCCATACCCGAAACTGAAACCGGAGTTCCGGTACATGGACACCCTTGCTACTGGGAGACGGATTCGGCATGGTTCAAGATCTGAGCGATCAAAATCCGAAAATTCAGAGCACATAGATAAGCACGAGTGACGTTGAAAAGGAACATTTATTTGTCTATGCTGGTGTTATCCTGTTTCTGTTCGTCTCCCTTTTTTGGCTGTAGAATCCCCCATCCCAAAGCCAAAAGGAGAGTAGCAGATGCACAGCCTTACAACCTTGGCTGTCGTGGTAAACCGTTACACTCTTGGAACCAGAAGCCCTAAACTCCGAAAACCCCTTCCTTGTGCTCGTAGGTTCGGGTTCCTTATGACCCAAGGCCAAAGCAGAACTGTACTTACGATTCAATTTTTGACCTAACCCTTGAAACCCTAGACACCTCGTGCTTGCGCGCCCTCAAAACCAAAATAGCAACAGTGTCTGGAATACTACCTTGCAGTTGTGTATATTAAAAACGTTCCTAAGGACACTAAACCCTATACCTACAGCCTATACACTTCACCCTAAGCCCTAATCTAAAACCTAAGAGCCCTAAACCCTGAACCCTAGGGGGCCTAAAGCCTAAGCCCAAACCCTAGGGATCAAAATAGCCCAAAAGCCTTAAATAGTATGGTCTTTGGGCCCAAAAGCCTTATTATATGAGTCCTTGGATCCCCAGGGAAAGAGCCCCGAGCCCCCTGTAGCCGAGCTGCGAAGTCGGTTCAACGTAGTTGACAGATCCCGGAGCTTCCGAAACGCCTGGTCCAAGGTCCAGGGTTGTGCAGGTAGGGGTTTAGGGGGTAATTAAGGGGCTTAATGCTTTAGGGTTCAGAATTTGGGTCTGGGAGTCTTCCACATTTTTCCAATTTTCGTTGGAATTCTGTTGAATGACGGGGTTTCTCAGATAGCGGGCTCCGCACATCACGGATCCGACTGTAATTTCGTCTATACCAGGGCTGTTATATGCCAAATGCAGAATCTCCCACGCAATTCGACATGATTTAGACCCTGATAAGTAAGGCCCTTCTGCCGTTAAAGGGTTTTTAGCAGGAGTCCCGACAGTACAGGGCCCTTAAATCAACAAACCCTAAGCCCCGCATAAACCCTAAACCGCCTGAATCGTTTAGTGCCCTTCACCTGACAGCCTGCGCCAACGGAACCCACGGGGACCTTCGAGAGATCTGCCAGTCTTGCAAAATACCAAACCCTAAACCCTAAAACCCTAAAACCCTAAACCCTAAATCCCTAAAACCCTAGAACCCAAGAACCCTGAAACCCTAAAACCCTAAACCCTAGAACCCTAGAACCCTAAACCTTAGGAAACTGGATCCCTCGGGATCTCGATGACGGAACTCCAACATGGCCCAAGAAGAAGAAAGCCTAAACCTCAAAGGGGAAAAGGAGGGACCCTTAATGGGGACCCCTACCCTATAATGGGCTATGTAATGGGTATATAATAAGGGTATATACCTAGGGGTCCTTATTAAGGGTCCCTCCTTTTGCCCTTGGAAAACCCTGAACCCCTAAACCCTAAACCCTACCAACTCTAGTCAGCGGTTTAGGGTCTAGGGCCGAGGGTCTCTAGGCTTTTGGGTTCGTGTAAAACGTTTTTTGGGGCTACTGTTGATGATATAAATCCTGCATTACCTTAAGGACCCTAAACTATGGGAATTATGGTATATTCCTTACTATGGGTCATGCAGGATTTATATCATCAACCGTAGGGTTTGGGGCATGGGGTTTAGGGTTCAGGATAAAGGGTGCAAGGGTTAGACGTGGTGACGTGACTTGACGGACCAAGCACAAGTTCTCCCGAATCTCCCTACATCGCGTGCCCTGAACCTCTGAAGCTCGGCAAGGCTTAGTGCAAACCATCCCCCAACCCGATAAATTTTTGCAGTTGCAGCCTACATTCCCTGATGCCGATGAGCAGCGAAACCCTCAACCCCTGGACAGGGCTACGGGCTGTAGGGCGGGCTGCTGTGCTCACACGTGAACAAAAGCTGCTTCGAATTTGACTAGATCTGCTTTCGGGTTTCGTCTCAGATCAGCCGGTTTCGAGTGGTAGCCTGAAGACCCAGCAACTCCCATGTCCCGAAGTGACGCTGAGGCTTCAAACTTACGAATTCTGCGAAGGTTCTGGGGTCTGGGTCAAGGGTCGGCACGTTAGTGCTACTCTGAGTGCACGGCTTCTGTCTTCCGCTCTTCGAGGCCATTCATCATGCAGAAGATCCTGCGTTGAAGAAGCTTTCGAGCTATCTGAAACAAGCAGAACCTGATTTTCGGTGGGATCCCACAAAGTTCTATATCGGGGGGGCATGTAGTGGGACCCTTTACAAAGGTGTGTTAAAGTCCAAGAGCGAACAAGGTCAACTGAGACTGTCAAAACTAAAGGACACACGACGTAGACCCAGGTGGAGCCTACCGCCAAGTGACCATCCAACTCAAGCATCAAGATCGCTAGTAGCGAGTTTAACGTTGAGGGCTTGTAGATGGTTCCCTAAACAATGACCCGCGTAAGGACTAAGGTCTACAGGAGTCAGAAACTTTAGAAAACGTATAGGTCTGTTAAAAGCCCTGGACAGCCATTGGATGTCTGGTAGGTAGCGGTACCCACGGCTGAGCTTCAATGCCTCCAACACAGTCTCAATCTAAACGAGGTTGATGTTGAAACTACAGGGTGTGATTAGCGGGTAGCTGCGTAACACGCCTTCGCTGAGTGCAACTAGTACCACTGCTACACCGTCTGAGGTTGATGTTTAGGGTTTAGGGTTTACTTGGTATTTGCTTTAGGGCTCAGGGCGAAGAACTCCTTCGCAGCTTTGCAGCTCTGCGATCGTTCAACTTCCTAAACTCAAAGCTCGAGCCCTGAGAAACAGATAGACCGAGGTAAGCAGCCGGCGTTTCTAGAAGGATTGATCCTCTAAACCCCAATAAACCCCAATAAACCCGAAAACCTCTATAAATTCTAAACCCTCCACTCTCAAGCCCAACACCTCAAAACCTGAAGCACACGACCTTAACATCAAATCACCCTGATTACCGGACCCACCCCCCGTTCGTGTATGAGGCGCTGGATATAGACGAGCCTGAATCATTGGTAATGGAAATCGTCCGGGTTCAGTACCAGAAACCGCCTCCGAGTGAAACCTACGGTTGATGATATAAATCCTGCATGACCCATAATAAGGAATATACCATAATTACCATATATTCCTTATTATGGGTAATGCAGGATTTATATCATCAACCGTAGTATCCGAGATCTGACAACCCAGCCCCGAAACTCCTTATAGAACACCCTCGAAACATCCTCAAAGGGTTCATCAGAAGATGAGCCCTAAGCTACGAGAAAGTCTTCCGACCGAGCCGCCGGATTCTTGGCAATAAGCGCGGGATCTGGGATTCGAAGATATTTAGAAACTCCATATAGCGCTTGGGCGTTTGGGGTCAGCGGTTTGGGGGTTTAGGGTTGAGGGCTTCGGGTGTTATAGGGATTAAGGGTTAAGGGCTTTTAAGGGTGTGGGGCTTCTCGGGTTTAGGGGCTTGCGCTTGGGGGCAATGGGGTTTAGTAATCCTTCAGCTTCGAATTTTCTGGCCCAGGGTTACAGATCATTTTCGCGAAGTCTTACACTAAGGTCCTAATGGTATGAGCGTTCCTTCTAGGGTCTACTATAAAGGTTCCTTATAAGGGTTCTATAGGGGTTCTGGGTGTTTGGGGTCCATGTACCCAAACAGTATGCACAAGGGCCTTAAAGTACTCCCTATATAGGTACATTGGGGCCAAAGAAAAACCAAAACCCTTTGCAAGAAACCTTTATAGTAGACCCTAAAAGGAACCCTGATACTATTGAGACCTTCGGGTATGACTTCACTATTTGGGCACATGGGCCCTTAGGGTTAACTTTTTTTTACCAACTCGACTCCGAAGTTCGCCACTTCCGGGATATTGGAGCCCCTGGCATCGAGAAAACGTACCCAGAGATCCCAATACCCCTTAATTAAGGAATACCTAGGGTTCCTCAAAGGGATTTATTAAGGGATGTAAAGGTTTCCTTTAAGGGATCTTTAGGGTTAAGGGCAGTTAAGGGTTTAGGGGACTCCAATACCCCTTAATTAAGGAATAAACATTGAAGTGTTTGGGGCTTAATATTATGGTTTAAGGTATATTCCTTAATTAAAGGGTATTGGGATCTCTGGGTAACAAACGCAGACTCAGGGTATCCGGGATTGGAGTGAACCGTGAGCCCCTTAGCCTTAGCCCCCACTTCAACACCTTTAGTCTCCCTTGTTCAACAACCTCGCCCCAAAAAGTTCAAACTTTCCTAAGATAGAGCTAATATGTAAGGCCAACAAGTTTAAAGTTCCCCGGTTCACTATCCAAGTAGCTTGCCTATTTCACTTCCCCTTCCGCAGCGCCCGCGAAATCCCTTCAATTACAGCATCCACGTTAACTCATGATGAGAACCCCATGCAACGTAAGCCAAAAGGGATTAATTAAGTACCCAATCATCATATACGAGTCATTTACTCTCCCAAAAACTCACCAATACCTAATCAAGCCCATAAAACCACATAAAGCCACATTACTAGAACCGTCATCGAACCCCTGTAAGACACCTTTAAACGCAGAAGCCCTAAACCCTAAATCGCTTGAATCCTAAATAAGCCCGCTGGACTCTGAGGGAAGGTGCTTTCAGGAATTTGGGTCTCCGGGATTTTAACAGCGGCTTTCCATGAGGGTCCAAGTAGCCAAATAGGATGGTTTTAGGTCCCAAATGTCATTCGTATACTATAAGATACTTTAAAATACTAGGTAGTCTTAAGCGCTTTAGTCTCAAGGCTGTGACGGTTTGGGGCTTTTGAAATCAGAGAATGCAGTTGAGGCGCCAGTGCAAACAGCATCATTTGACGGTCAATTTCCCGCAGGCCGGCGATGTTGGCAGTTGGATTCCGGACATAATCCTTGCGTCATAGGGTTTAGGATTTAGGGCTTTTAGGCTTTTAGGGTTTAGGGTTTGTGGGCTTTTAGGGTGTTTTTTTTAGGGTTTAGGGTTTAGGGGCTTGCATCATGGCTCGGAGCTGGATGTGATTTGAAGCTTGAACAGTACTTAGCCTTCAGGGTTCACTCTAAAAGCCGCTGCAAGGTCTGAGATGCAAAGTTCTCAAGCAGAGGGGCCCGGTGCTTTCCCTTTAGCACCGGGCCCCTACATGTCTAGCCGTCAGCCTCCACACCAACCACACTCCCAAATTCAAGGCTTGCATCCAAAGGGTGATAGGTAACATGGGCTCCTGTAGTCGGAATAATAACTACTATGGCTTTGGGAAGTCTCTCCCATGATCTCCCATGTAAGTACTTAGGACCGCCTGCGGCATCAAAACATCCCGCCCCACGCAACCCTAGAACCGTCGGCAGATCGCCCCATACCACTGCTAGTGGTAGCAGTAGCAGTAGTCGTAGTAGCCATGCGCGCCTCCTGGCGCCTGGTCTTTTCCTCGGGGAGGTTTTGGGTTGGTGGGGGGGGTGGGTGGGGGGCGGGGTTAATAACGACATGGTCGACCGCAATGGTCTTCTTGTTGCCAAAAACACTGGCAGTACCGGTACTTTGGAGCGTTTTTCGGGGGCTTTTGTTCGACTGGGAGGGGAGGGCATGGTGGGGGTGTCAATCACGACATGCTTCACCGCAATTTTTGCCGGTTTCGCAGTCCCCACGGTGTGGCTCGATTTTTGTGTGTTTTCGAAGGATTTTACTTCCACTGGTGCGGGGGGGTCGTGAGGGGGGGGCCCGCACAGTGGCTCGATTTTCGCGTGTTGGCAGTAGCAGTAGCAGTGGCAGTGGCAGTAGCAGTAGCACTAGCTAGCAGTACCAGCAACAGTGGCACTAATAGTGCAGCAGCGGCAGTAGCAGTCGCACTGGCAGTAGCAGTACCAGTACCAGTACCAGCGGCACTAATAGTAGCACTACTACAGTACTACTAGGTACCAGGACCAGTCCTACTAGGAGTCCTACTAGCAGTACCACTACCAGAAGCCGTAGCACTAGCACTAGCACAAGCGGCTTGAGGCCCTTTCTGCAGCAGTGTAGTAGGCCTAGTAGTACTAGAACTAGTGGCCGTAGTCCTCAGTCCTACTAGTGGCTTCCAATAACATGCACATCATTGTCATTCTCAGCATCTTCATCATCATCATCATCATCAGTAGCATCACTAGCATCATCGTTTTTGAAAACGTAACTGAACTGCAATTTCCACAAAACCTTGTAAAACAAACGGTACTTTTGACCCTCTAACACCTGCAAACTACCAGGCGCCAGGAGGCACGCAAGCCTAGTAGCCGTAGTAGTAGCAGTAGTAGTAGTAGTAGTAGTAGTAGTAGTAGTAGTAGTAGTAGTAGTAGTAGTGGTAGTAGTGGTAGTAGTGGTAGTAATAGTCGTCGTCGTAGTCGGTGTAGTCGGAGTCGTAGTGGTCGTAGTAGTAGCAGTAGCTGTAGCTAGTCGTCGCAGTCGTAGCAGCAGTAAGTAGTAGTCGTCCTGCTCCTGTTCATAGTAGTATGACTACGACGGCGACGACTACTACTATCACAACAACAACCTTTGCCTACCACGACTGTTGCTGCTGTTGCTGCTGCCATTAAACCAGAACTACCACTACGGGTTCGCACACCAGTCGCGAGAGCAGGAGGGCGCATCTGGTCATGCCTCGTGTCGCATTGCCCACTTGCCTGCAGCATTCCTGGACCGCAGGTTGCAGTCGTTCCTGTAATCCCAGACCCCCACATACCTTGATACGAGCACCTTTCTGCTGCACGTGCAGCAGAAAGGTGCGCAAATTTGGTCGAACATGCTTTTCCGGCGGGGAACGCAACTCGGCTTAGCGTTTGGGGTAGGCTTGGAGTCCCAAAATCCATACACCCATAAACCTAAACCCTAAACCTATAAGCCCTAAACCCTAAAACCCTGCAACTTCAAACCCTAAGGCCCTAAGGCAGCCGGAAGTGAAGGCTCTCCGAGGTGAATCCCAAAAAGGCATCGGAACAAAAAGACTACGCGGTTTAGGGGTTAGGGTTTTGGGGTTTTGGGTTACGTACCAAACCCTAAACTCCTAGACCCTATCAACACTAAACGCAAAGGCCAAGCCGCATGCAAGGCTTGGATCTGCTTTTGGGTGTCCTTCGAGTCTGGCCAGGCATCTTTCAGACGTCCGGCTACCTGGTCAGAGGGCTCATAAGTTGTTTGGGGTTTAGGATCGTAAGGCTAAAGTTTCGGGTTTTAGAGTTTGGGGTTTCGGGGTTTAGAGTTTGTGGTTCAGAGTTTGGGATTTGAAGCTAAGGGCTTAGGCTTTAGAGTTTAGGGCTTAGGGGGCTTCTGGTTTAGTTAGGCTGAAGGAAGAATTGTTGATGGTGCTTCTGTCTTGGAGGGGTTCACGGTCAACCGTTTTCAGATTGGTCCCAGTGGCTTTGCATCATGGCTCGCTAGCCAGTGCGTCGTTGTCCAACATCCTAGGGTCTAGTGGCACTAGATACAAGATTATTTTGGGGATGATATAGGGGTTGTAATACCCCAAGAAGGCTTCGGGGCACATACGTCATAGGGCCCCAATGACTCTACATCACCCATCCTAAACTCTACACCCCTAAATCATAAACCCTAATGCCTAAATCCTATACTCTCAACCCTACAGTAAATCCTAAACCCTACACTCCAAACCCTAATCGGGCCCCAACAATCATAGTAGGATCCCTAATAACATACTCCTTAATGAACCCTGTGGGTCCCAGTACTCACTATTGTAGGACTTTTGGGTCTATTTAGGTACCCAAAAGCATTAACAAGGACTACTTGGACCTTGAGGGTAAGAGGTACTTAAAAGATCATGGGACTTAGTAACTAGGGTTATGATTATGTAGGGTAACTATACTTATAACCCCGAATAGGGACTTAAAGCCTTACATACTAAGTCCCATGATCCTCCAAGTAGGCTTAGATTGAGCCTCAAAGCCTGCAGCCCGAAAACCCGCACTGCTCTAAGCCCTACAACCCTATCTAGGGGGTTTAGGGTTTAGGGTCTATTTAAATGATCATGGGACTTAGTAACTGGGATTATAATTAGGGTAACTATACTTATAACCCCAATTAAGGTACTTATAACCTTACTTACTAACTCCCATGATCTTCCAAGTATTGGCAGGACTGGGCGGTTCAGGGCTCCAGGGTTGGCCTCCGCGTCGAAGCCCAGCACGTTATCCAAGAACCTTAGTGGGTCTAGGGTTAGGGAACCTTAGGCAGAGGGTCCAGATACAAGGGCCCTTTTTGAGGGTTCCGCCACGGGTTCTATAGAGTTTAGGGTATAACGCTCCGTATATACGACGATTATGGAATTAGTTAGGTTCCCAAAAGACCACCCTTATTGTGGTTTTGGGGCCTAGTTCCAGAATGGTAGTGTACATGGACCCTCTGGGTTAGGCAGAGCTGCTGTCCAGAAAGCCAATTGCCCGTAGAAAGGGGAGATGCCTAGACTACTTTCCCACGGTGTTTAGTGATATGTAAACAGAACGACTACTACTTCATTACGCAAAAACCGCATACACACACATAAATAAATATATATATATATATATAGTTATATGTACACCTATATATATATATATATATACACACATACATATACATATAAGTATGTACACACCTCGGACCGAACTTGAAGTTCGACTTTCGGGTGTCAGGGTTTAGGGCTTTAAGGCTTTATGATGGATTTGGGTTCAAGGATTTATGGTTGCAGGTTTTACGGTTTCGGGGTTTGGGGTTTAGGCTTCGGGTTGGAGGGTGAATGCTTTAAGCGTTGAACAACACCATAAGATTCGACTCTGCTGACGCCAGCTCAGAAGCACAAAGCTCACCACGGCTTTGTGGGTGTCAGCACCCAGCGTCTTCAAGACGATACCTCGGATGTTCAGATTTCAGATCCCAGGTAATGCGGACTTACACGACGTCACAAGTGAGGCGTCGCATCAGCAACAGAAGAGAACAAACACAAGCTCTACACGTGCTATGTAGGTTTGTCCATGTGTATCCACAAAACCAAGTGTGCGTGTGTGTGTGTGTGTGTGTGTGTGTCTCTCTCTCTCTCTCTCTCTCTCTCTGTCGCGAGCGTGCTTAAAGGAGCTACAAGCAGATACACATACATGAACACACACGCACACGCGCATGTATGCGCACACGTATGTACACTTTATGAATATACATATATATATATATGGATGTACAGCAAGACCCGTATCTACTTACATACCATGCGTACATACAGACATACGAGAGAGAAAGCATACGCATATTGATGTGGATTAGTCTGCTGTTGTCGTGGTTGCTGTTGGTTGTTGTAGATTGTTGTTGGCTGCTTATTTTTGCTATAGCTGTTGGTGGTGGCGGTGGTTGTGGGTTGCTGTTGGTTGTTGTTGTGGTTGGTGCGGGTGCTGTTGGTCGTTGGTGCTTTGTTCTTGGTTGTTTGTTAGTGTTGCGGTTGCGGCTGCGGTTGTGGCTGAGGCTGTGGCTGTTCCTGTCACTGTTGGTGCTGTTGTTGTTGCTGCTGGTGTTGCTGTTGTTGCTGAACATACACATGCGAATATGTGCCTGCTTGTGCGATACGCCTGTTTGCGCTATTTGCATGCCGATGCACAGGCATGCACAATGGCGAACAAACAATTCGAGATGCGAACCGGTAACTGTACGCGTTCTTGCAGATGCAGGTACACCTGTGTATTTACATATCGGCCAATGAACTACATGTTACATGTAGAATACCTGCATGCACATGCAGATGTATACGTATATGTATCAGTACATCTGTGCATGCATATGTGGGTACGCATATGAATGTGTGCATGTATTAAGTAAGTGTTCCTGTATGTGGGCTTGTACCTGCATATGCATGTGCACCGACCTGAATGGATTCATGACTGGGTATATGTACTTAAGGATGTAGATACGTAAGAAAGGAAGGGAGGGAGTACTGTCTGCCTGTCTATCCGTATGCATGTATGCATGTACGTGGGCGCTCTACCTTGCAGATCATCTACGTTCTACACGCACGAACAAGGCTCGTACAAAACCACGTTTCGGTAAATTCATTGGTAATCATGCCTAGAAACCTCTATGGAACCCTGTAGACGGAGCATTATCCCAATTGGTACCGCTCCTTGTCGTCCTGTCTGACAGGCTGCTTCTGCTAATGTTGCTCTTTGTGCACAACTTTCCAACATAACCTTAAACCCTAAACCGGCAGGCCAGTCACCCAGATTTTGTGCCAGGGCATCCGGAAGGATCTTGACTTCAGGCTGCTTCCTGCGACGGCGAAGTCAGTTTTGAGGATTTGAAGAGGTCACGGGCTTCCAAAACAGCCGAACAAACCCCCTTACTCCCAGACCCTGCAACCCGAAACCCTAAACCCCTTAGTCCCAAAGCCGAAACCATGTAGGTGAAGCTTGGGCACATGATATCGGACGCTCCCGCTAAGCCCGTGCAAACTGCCAAACCCTCGGCCTCACCTCAAGAAACCGACCGGATTCCCTACGCCTAAACGCTGGCGTAGACTCCCCTGAGTACCCAAGTAGCTTCTAATTGGCAAGGACTTTCAGGTTTTACTAGAAGCTTCACCACACAGACCTTAAGGGTCCCACATACATAGTTCTATAGGGTTTGAGCTCTAATTAAGAGGGATGAAGTACTCCAATAGTAGGTTCTATGTGCCAACCTCAACAATCTGAACGATTTTTGCTACACAAAAACTGTACTATTTAGGCACTTGGACTGTCAGGGCTTTGTCAAGACTTTCTCCTGCTGGACCTTCGTGAGATGCCTACATTGACATGAGCATCTCTGGAAGTCGACACCTTCTACTGAATGTGAACAACAATTGGTTAATGCTGTTCAATAAATACTATACCTAGGGGATCCTTTGCTATGGAAATTTCCGTACCCTAAAATTTCCCCGCGTGACCTTCAATCATATGGGTTTGCATGCGTTTTCCGGATTTCTGTGCGTGACGATTGACAAAGCTACTTCATCCCATTAATGTCGTCGTTATACTAGCTTAATAGAATATATATATATATATATATATATATATATACATATGTATATATATATATATATATAGAATTCTACACAGTCCTGCCACGAAACCCCTATATGGTTCGGTATACATATATATATATATATATATAATTCATATTTATCTATATAATGTACTCTTAGGGTGTCGGGCTGGGATTTCAAGGGATTGGGGGGTACTTCTCCGACCCTCGGCTACATCAAGCTCTTCATGTGCAAATCTGGTGGAGAATGCCGCAACCTCAGCTTCTTTCTTCTCAACGGCGAAGCTCCCTGCCCCATATCTGGTGATACAGAGCCAAGCAAGCACGAATTGTTCTAAATGCCACCGTAACGGTGGCCTGTCGTCTGCTCAAGCGTGCACACTTTCCAATATAATCTTCGTCAGTAAAGCAGCTGAAACCTTAGAATATTTCTCCCATCAGACGAAAGTAAACAATTACGGATCCAGCTAACATCAGCTAAAAGCCAGGCTAGCAACATAAAGCGTTGAGCACGAAGCCGGAGGGGTTGTGAAGCTGAAGTTCCATTTCCCGCCTCGGGTGATAAGCTTTATTAATATCTCTCAGAAATTGCGATGGGAACAATATAGTGCGACCGTGTTTCTCCAGGTGCATCTGCATATGCAGCTTGGGTTTCACACGGTACAATGAGAAACCAAATCTGCAGCACATCGTCGACAGTGCTGTGTACCCCTCCTTATGTTTTTTCAATTAGAACTCTATACTGCGGGTTTAGGGGTTTAGGGTTTAGCTAGGGTTTGGGGTTTAAGCATAGCTAATGTGCGTGGCTAGGGTTTGGAAACAGGGCTGATACTAGCTGAAGCAAAGCTAACAACTCGCAAGTGGCTGTCATGTCATATCCGAAGCCAACGATATTGCAAGCAACACTTGCCGGGATCCAAATTCCGTGCTGGTAAAGTCCTCGATAGAACGAGTTCGTGCTCTGAATAGTCCATTGAAGCACCCGGAGCAAATCTTGGTAGCGAGCAGCCTCAAGTTTCAGGTTGCAGCTATATACGAACAAATCAAAGCTGCACCATAAAACAGCTAAGTAGCAACCGTCTCAGGACGGAGTGGTTGCAAAAAGCTACCCAGCCACATGAGCAGCACGATGGTGTCAAATCCTTTGCCAGTACTCGCAGGATAGACCTTCAACCTCGACAGCTATATTCGGTGATTTCAAAAAGCTAGGTTTGCGAGCCATTTGGAATTCTTAATAGCATAGGCTAGGCATAGCTATGATGGCTTGGGATGGTTTGGGATGCACTAGCCCAAATAAGAATATTGAGGTCTGGAAGCGATTTCATCTTCATCTTCTTCATCGTGAGGCCGGTCAAGCTCGTAGGCTTTCGGTTTTGCGAGCACCATGCCTTGAACTTCATGTATAGTTCGTTCAGTCTAGCATTCACAGATCGACCAGGTGCCAGCCCCATGTGGCATAGCAAGATGCACGTACTGGTGGCCAGCATAGACCCGAAGCCCTGAATTGCATACGTGTGTGCTGGGTCAATCCTGATTCTATGACCACAGTCTGCACCAGGAATTGCACGTAGCGGGCTATAGATGTTTCTCTTCCATGGAGGTGGCGAGGGGGACCCATAGTGCCACGTGCTTCGAACCGCTGAACTCGCTGATGCATTGTACCAATCCTGTCATAATTTATCTAGCTGATCCGACGAAGAGCTGCAAGATTAACAAATTTGTATAACATCGCGTCCTGCTGGTTGCATAAATGGCACACACGTTTAGAGCTCCAGCCCGGGTACAGTGCATAGGCCTTGCGTAACCATGGCCAGTCGCCTTTGCCTCCCAAGTAAGCAAAGTGAACCTTGTGGGTTTTGCCCATGTACTCAACCTGAACATATGCTTGTAGGGTTTAGCTAGGGTTTAGCTAGGGTTTAGCTGGGGTTAAGGTTTTCATATATTTAGCTAGCATACACAAATTGGTTTTCAAACCCCATGCCTCCAAACCCTCATCAAAGAGCTTCGTACAGTCAGCGGCCAACTCTTCAAGCAAGGCAAAGACACTAGCGTCACGAGGTGCGTAGCACTGTGACGGAAAGACCGTAAACAGCAGCCTGCTGGTAAAGCTGTGCCTTATCAACAATTGAGGAACCATAGAGTTATAATAAGTTTCTAATAATTACTAGTCGAAACCAAACAATAAACATATATGATCGAGCTTGTGGTTTAAAGGATCCCAGAGGAGTTCAGGCGGTGGCTGCCGTAGTGGCTATGAAGGCACTGGAAGCTGATCGTGAGTAGCGGTTGTTTGTTTCGTCCTCGTCCTTCATCCCCGTGTAACATAAATGGGATATATACTCCAATATCCCCTTCAACATCGAACACATCATGGGTTGGGTCGATGTCCTTGTACCGCGACCAGAACTGCCTGACCTGCTTCTTCCAGTCGCTGTCCAGGTTACACCCAGACAAAAACATTTCACCTCCATTGCCAAGCTCGTACTTTGCCCACGAAGATAGATGTAACAGCGGCCACAATACATCCTGCACATTTCTTGTACGAACAGCACGAATTGGTACGGTGATTTGGGATACTTGCACGGGCAGGGCGAGCTCTTTGTCTCGAGCGAGCAGCCGGTGAAGGCCACGGCATGCGTTGCCGCCCTTGCTCTTGCATCGAGAGACAGCAGCCAGCTTGTTGAGCAATGGGTCTCGTCCTTTATGTTGGGTGCGGTTGTGTAGTAGGCTGAGGGCTTCAATTATTGCATTAATCGGTGTTACCCTTGAGCAGTCGTACCTAGCAACTAGACAATAGTACGTTAGCAAAGTTAATTAGTTCGTTATTAGTTCGTGAGTTATAAGTATACATGCAGTATATATAGTTATAGTGAGTTAGATATATATATATATATATATACGTTAGCTAGCTAACTAGCTAGCAAGCTAGGTATTCTATGGTTAGTTAGTTAGATTAGTTAGTCAGTTAGTTATTAGTTAGTTAGTTAACTAGTTAGTTAGTTAGTTAGTTAGTTAGTTAGTTAGTTAGTTAGTTAGATAGTTATATAGTTAGTTATTAGTTAAATTAGTTGGGTCGTTTGCTAGCTGGCTAGTTATAATAGTTAATTAGATAGCTAATTATAGTACTCGTGAGTTATATAGTTTCAGTACTGGAGAAAGAATTGTAATTGGTTGGTTGAGCTACATATAGTTAGTCAAGTTGATGGGCACGGGGGATTTCCTCGCGAGACCCATTGAAGCCGAAAGCCAGGCCTCCTGCCTTTGCTAACTTCTTGGAAGCACGTCGGGCCAAGCGATTCACCCGAGCACACGAGTCAACCTTGGCTTTGCATGCCCACACATACAATCGGAGAAGCTACAACATATCAAGCAGACGAGCAACACCCGCACTGATTCCTGCCAACAGCTCTGTGGCCAGGTCATCATCTGATGACTCGGGATCGGGATCAGGAGCTCTCGGACAGCCTGCGTGGGGATACATCAGATTGGAACTCGTTCGGATCAGCGGGTATAATATTAGCTCAGCCACCATAAGCCCACTCTGCATCAGCACCTGCGTGGGGGATTTGATTGCATGATGCCTAGAAACACTCATGTCGCACGATCTCTGTTTGCGTGCAACCACATGTCTTTTCCCGGTGCTGCACAGACTCGACAGCTGCATGTCTCGGAATCCCCAGTGCAGCTTTGTTGCTGCGAACGATCCATGATCGATTTCTCGAATCCATCACGTAGCCTTAGCTTTGCCTCGCAATCGCTTGGGAGGAGCAGCACTGGCGCCCAAATCCTCCTGTGAGGCGGCTCGCTTACTCTTGCCCTTAGCCTTGGCTTTGGCTTTAGGAGAACTTTTCGGTGTCGCGGCCGGGGACTGCTTGACACTCCTGAGCAGTACTAAATGACCGATAGTTCAGACGATCTCGACTGCATGTATACTATGTAGACAAGCTGCTTTGCACGGATCGTGTAATGGTTGAGGGCCAGGTCTTCTTTCGTTGCCTCCACGAACTTAGCCCTGATCTCACCAACCAGCCTGCGTAAAGTTTGAGGCTGTTTGTAGCTTGCTAACATATTAGCTATGCGTATCCCGGGCTTTGGTGTTTCGCGGCATAGCCAGGCCGGGGTTTTAAGGAGATCGAGCTTGTGCAACTTCATGGTATAAATTCCTATAGGGTATCTAGGGGGTATAGGTATAGGTAGGGATTTTTGTGATCAGGGCTTGGGCTTGAAATCGATTGAGGTTTAGGCTA